CCTCTCCCAGCCCTGGCTGAGAAACTGTTGTATAACTGTGAGCTCCGATGAGTCACACTCGAGGAAGGAGGTCTCCACAGCTGTCGAGGAAGGACAGAATGAACTTGAATAGCAGAGCATTCAACTTTGTCTTTATTTTATATAGCATATTTTTAATTATAAAACTAACCATGTAAGTTGTAGGAAATTTAAAAAATGTAACCATATAAACAAAAGTCACTCATTTTCCCAGATATCATTAGATATAATTGCTGTAACTAATTTGGAAATGTAGTGGATCAAAGCCTGGAATCTGGAGCAACCTGGCTACAAATCCTGGCTTACCAACTGTGGAACCTCGGGCGAGTCCCCGGGGTGTCTTTACTTCTGTTTCCTCCTGTGATTGTGGAGAGCAACAGGGCTACCTTCACAGAGTGGTTGTGATGATTAAGTGGTGATTGTCTATGAAGAATTTAGATCAGTGCCTGGTTCATAGTAGGCATTCAGTAAATTAGAGTTATTATTATTATTTTATGTTTACTCTGACTTTTTTTTAAAGAGAGAGAGAGAGAGAATTTTTTTAATATTTATTTTTTAGTTTTTGGTAGATACAACATCTTTATTTTATTTTTATGTGGTGCTGAGGATCGAACCCAGCACCCCGTGCATGCCAGGCGAGCGCGCTACCGCTTGAGCCACATCCCCAGCCCTACACTGACTTTTGAATTCTTTGTCTAAACACAAATGTTTTTCTTTCACAAAACTGAGATTGTATTGTGTGTAATGTTTTGTGTTCTGCTCATTCTCCACTTTACCCTTTGTCATAAGTATCTGTATTCTTCTATAAAGTGCCTTGAATAGCTAATGACATATATATATATATATTCAATAGTTAATTATAAATATATTATTACATGAAATTATTAGAAATACTTGACCAATTTCCTAATTATTGGAAAATACATGATTTGTATTTCTCTGATTTCTATTTTTTGCCATTCCAAACAGCACTTCAGTGAATATCTTCTTTTCCCCCCAAATCTTTGCATACCAACATTCTTTTTTAAATATGTTTTTAGTTGTCAGTGGACTTTTATTTTATTTATTTATGTGAAGTGCTGAGACTCGAACCTAGTACCTCACACAGGGTAGGCAAGCGCTCTACCACTGAGCCACAACCCCAACCTTCTTTTGATGATAGTACCCTATGGAGGTGTATCCCAGGTGCCCACTGCAGGAGGAGGGGAAGTGCTTGGGGAGGAGCTGCACCATGAGCTGGGAAGCCTTCCTCAGCATTTCCCTGGCTCTGCCATGGGACTTCTCAGTATCTCACTGATGATGGCCAACAAGTGAATAAAATGTGTATGGGGAGCAGCCACATCAACTTTCCTCTCTTTCTAGTCACAGTAAGGAGGTAAGACCAGCCTCAACATTTGTGCTGGTTCTCTGAAAGATCGCTTTTCCAAATAATTATTGAATTACCTCAAGCCATTTTGGAATGAAGCTTGATATTAATAAGTGACCTAAAGTCCAGCAGGAGGGGGAAATTCTCTCCCAGGAAACACCAGTTTTGTGAATAAGAACCCATCAGGTGATACATGTGGTGGGGTCCTATAAGTTGGAAGAGGGAGGGTGCTATGTCCCATCTCCTAAGTACTAGGCATCCCAACAAAAATTGGCTTATTGCATCCTTGGGAATGACATGGGAAAGAGTGCACTTCTCTGATGCTAGTTTTCTGTGGGCTTCAATTTTCAAATATCAAGATATCATGGAACATGAATCTGCTTGAGGTCCGAGAGGTAGAGACCTGGACCTTTCTTTTTGGATGTCATTCTTTTTGTTCAGCTCTGTCCTCCCACCCCATCTCTCTTAGATCTGTAGATCCTGCGGGAGCTTTTGGTGACCCTATCCAGTGTTCTTCCTGCTGGCAACCATTTTAGCCAAGGTGTCAAGCTTAGCATTCCTAAGGATGCAAGGATTTTGTACAATTTGGGCAGAGGTTGGAAAACTTTTGTAAAGGACGACATAGTAAATACTTCAGACTTTATGGGCCACAGGCTTGTGTCTCAACTACTCAGCTCTGCCCTGGCAGCACCAAAGCAGCCATCATCGGTATATAAACACCTAAGGGGAGCTGTGTTGTTCATTCATTCGGTTTTGTGGATCCGGTGATGGAACCCAGGCCCTCAGACAGGCCAGGCAAGTGCTCCACCACTGACCACGCCCCCAGCCCTGCATTCTAATGAAGTTTACCTTTAGATGTTGAAATTCAATCTTCATGAAATCATCACATTATGAAACATTGTTCTTCCTTCAACTTTTTCAGTCATTTAAAGATGTCAAAGCCATGTTATTTCACAGATAGTACAAAAACAGACAAGGAACTGGATTTGGCGATCAGGCTTGTTAACCCTTGATCTGCTGTTGGCATTGTTTTCTTCTAAATGTCACTTTCTGACTGCATCGTTTCCCTCATTGTCATCTCGGGCTTTGAAACTCCTTGGCTCCTTCTCTGGACCAGCTGAAGCTAACTTATCCTTGCAGAATCTGTGCTTTCAGCACTCAGTAGCTCCTTGGGGTGTGGGGGGGAAGCAGAATACCAGCTTAAAGGAACCAGTAGGGCAAAGAAAATGGCACTCCCCTTCTTTCTTTTCGTGTGTTGGTTGGTGTGACATATTTTGGGCATATGAGGGTTACAGATGGGTTCTGGCAGGTTATTCTGGTTTCTTCGGCTTCCCAAGGTTCTAATGAGCAGAGCGTGTAGCCTGAATGATGCTGAGAGTCTCATTTTTAGATAATCAAGGACATTTTTATCTTTTAATAGGTTGTGGCCTTAAAGTTATGTCCCAGCATAAAACTGAGAGTCAGAGAGATTTGTAGGCAACTTCATGTCATCTCTTAGAACAACCATGTGTCAGAAGGATGTTCAGGCTGAAGTGGGAATTTGGGGTGGAAATGGGGGAATTATAATTTTTTTTATTGCTGCCCTATCCTCACTGTGTTTAAAATGAGAATGGTAGATTTTTTGCATGGGGATGTGTTTAAAGAAAACTAATGTGCCCTATTTCATAGGGAACCTTCTCATACTAATCTGTGGAGTTGTGGTTTGGACCAGTTCCTGGCATTTTATCAAGGGCAGAGAAGCAGAGGCTCAGGCCTCCCAGTAATGAGATTGGGTTAGTCTGACAGATGCAGTGATTTATGAGGGCGCTTGTTGCGGGGACATCTGCTGCTGAAAGGAGCCAGAGGAAAGGAAGAGTTGCGGGGACATCTGCTGCTGAAAGGAGCCAGAGGAAAGGAAGAGAGCAAGGAATAGGAGAGGGGCACTTGTGTATCATGCAGATAGGGACCATCCTGGCGGCAGCTGTTAGGATCACAAGCTGATGTGTAGCTGTAGAACAGTGGGAAACGGTTGATTAGCATACGCTTCAAAATTGCACAGAGCTGGGTTTGAATTGTGGGCTCTTTTACTTGTTAGTTGAGATCTTAGATGAGCTATATCCTTTCTTTGAGCCTTCATTTCTTCATCTGTAAAGTTCACTATGTGAACTGCACCATCATAAAGGGCTGGGCAGAGGGGCTGGGGTTGTGGCTCAGCGGTAGAGTGCTCGCCTAGCATATGTGAGGCGCTGGGTTCATACCACATAAAAATAAATAAATAAAAATAAAGGTATTATGTCCAACTACAACTAAAAATATTAAAAATAAAAAAAAAGGGCTGAGCAGAACTCATGTTGCATAGGAAAGCTCAGTAAGCAGTGGACATTGGTGATGTTGGTCCCTGTAGCCATTCATTTGTTTCTTCAAAATTTCTAATAGAGATTCATTTTCAAAAAGCTGCCTAATGAAAATTTAGGTTTTAAAGGCTCTTTTGATTTAAGAACATGACAGTCAACATGTGCTTAGAGGTATATGTACGAACATCTAAATGGCATCTAGGAATTGAAAAAGCACCTGAAGTATGATTTAGAAAACAGCTGCCTGGCCAATAAATAAAACAAAAGATATCCCTTCCTTAATAATCAGGGAAATCATAAAATACAGCAGTTCTCCCTTATCTGCTTATTGGGTACATTCCAAGACCCTGCTGTTGATGCCTGAAACCATAGATAGTACTGACCCCTATAGTGGCCAGGGATGCTGCTAAACACCCTATGGGCAGGAACGCCCCCCCCCCCCCATTTCCCTAAGATACAAAGAAGTATTTGGCCTCAAATATCAAGGGGGTGAGGTTGAGAAGTCTTGAACTAGAACTTACCATAAGGAGTCAGAAAGTACAATTTTATGAAGCTGCAATCAAACACAACCTGAAATATTTTGCAGATAACACCCATGACCACTGTATGTCCTTAGCCTAAAGCTCTTATCAAGACCTTTTATAAGGTATTTTTCATGATGCACGTGGGAGGGACCACCTTGGGCCTTCTAACAGTCGCCCCACTAAAGGGCAGCGGAGACCCCTGGACTCTCTTAAGCTGCCTCTGCTCTTCCTCAGCAGCCTCTTTGAGCAGCACTGCCCAAAAGTCACATAATGTAGGCCACAGAGATAATTAAAATATCTTAGTATCCACGTTAAAAGAGTAAAAAGAAATAGGTGGAATGAATTGAAGTAATATGATTTATTTCAGTATATCTAAAATACTATCATTTTACATGTAACAAATGTAAATATTTTATTTATTTTTTTAACACCAAGTTTTTGAAATTGGATGTCTATTTTATACTTACAGGACTTCTCAGTTAGGTAGGGCCAGTTGTACTTCAGGTGCTCAGTTGCCACACGTGACTAGTGGCTACGGTGTTTGCAGTACATCTCTCGAGGTTTCTGTGCCTGGGATCCAGTGAAGGACATTCCTCTGAGACCAGCAACATTACTGTAACTCAGTTGAGAGTGGATGTAACTTCTAGGAATCTCTGATCTAGACTCCCAAAGATGGTGTGTGAACGTTTAGGAATGAAGAGGGACTGGTTTTCAGCATGGTCTGTGTCATCACCACCTTATTTTGTTTTTCCTTGGCAGGTGCCTCGTCTCCAGACATGGAGCCCAGCTATGGGGGAGGTCTTTTTGACATGGTGAAAGGAGGAGCAGGGAGGCTGTTCAGTAACCTCAAGGACAACTTGAAAGACACCCTCAAAGACACATCTTCTAGAGTTATACAATCGGTGGCCAGGTATGTGCATTCTTCCTGGTTAAGTTAGCAGAACCCATGCTCATCTGGTTGCTGCCAACTGCTTATTTGGTTCAAAGATTGTCTGTTTTGTCATATAATTGCAAGGGAACTGATAGCTGAGGAATGTCACTGAAGCCATGAAGTTACAAGCACAGGCTGGGAGGACTCAGCTCACTAGTGCATTAGGGTACAATGCTTGTCGTTCCTGGCTTTAGAATCAGACATCCTGGGTTCTAATGCACTATTTTGTGCTTGTTAACCATGTGACCTAAGGCAAGTTAATTAATTCTCTGAGCTTTACTTTTATACTCTGATAGGATTTGTGTTGTTGGGTGGATTGGGGATTAAATGAGAAAATAAAGCATATGCAGTCCAAATAAATAATACATGTGGATTGTAATCCAAACAGAACTTTTATATCCTACTAGTCCTTTAAGATAATGGCAGAAGTTTTCTACTCTTGCACTATATAAAAATTACAAAAATTATATGAATTATGTTTTATTTTCAGGTTATTAGAAAATTATAGGTTTACTCCAAGTTACAGTATTCAGTTTTGAATCAGAAATTCAAATGCCAAGTTCAATATATTAATCAGCATTTTGATATTGGTTCAAAAGTAAAATTTACCCTTCCAATTCCCAACCAGGACCTTGATAGGCTGAAAAAAAGTATCATTTGTGCTTTCTCAATCACTTTTTCCCCTACCCCTTCGCTGCTCATATTTAGAGGAAAAATTTCAGCAGAGAGGCTGAAACAATCAGTATAAATAAATAAGCAGAGATTATTCAAGAAGCAGCATCCATGGGGCATTGGAATGTACTAGTTGGAGTGGTGTATTTGTACCCTGAGGGTGCGGACTGTTTTTTCTCAGCTATGCTTTCTTGTTAGTGAAGGGCTCGAGGGGAGTCAAGATATGCCTGCTGGACAGAAATGTCCCAGTTCATGATGTCCAAGTGGTAGAGAGAAATCTTGGCATATTTAGATCATTTTAATTTGTACCCTTTCCTGTCTCACTTTCAGCTACACAAAGGGAGATTTAGACTTCACTTATGTTACCTCCAGAATTATTGGTAAGTTTTTCATGTTTTTAACTGCTCTTTGGTTCAGCCATCAGATGCTGCTCATTGTGATAGCAGGCCTGTGTAACCTGTTGTATTTCTGTGTGACTTCTCCTAGTGATGTCCTTTCCCCTGGACAATGTTGACATAGGATTCAGGAATCAGGTTGATGACATTCGGAGCTTTTTGGATTCCAGACATCTTGATCACTACACAGTCTACAATCTGTCACCCAAGTCTTACCGAACTGCCAAGTTTCACAGCAGGGTAAGGAATTTTAGCCCTACGATTGCTTGCTGAGACATCATAGGCTGTTTTTTTTTCTCTTACGAGATGTCTTCAAAGCTTTTACCTTTAACTATATGAAAAACTAAAAACTCTGGATACTTCTGTCCATGAAATATTTATTAGGCTGTTATAAGATGTTCTGAAGATTTTCTTTGAGGAAATTTTTAGGAAAGTATCTCTATTAATGAAATTCTATCTAAATTGGGGTATCAATCACTTGGTGCTTGGTTGGTTCTTAGAACTTGTTCACAAGGTTCAAATTAGAGATTGAACTGTTGCATAGGGAAGTTGACTACCCTTACACTCCAACACTAATTAGGTCTTTGACCTTTCTACTTGGGAATCAAGATGAGGCAGTGGGGCTGGGGATGTAGCTCAGGGGTAGAATGCTTGCCTAGCATGCTCAATGCCCTGGGTTGGATCCTAGCATCACACACGCATGCACACACACACACATACACATACACACACAAACAATGAGGCAGTGTGGCTAGATTAGTATAGACACACCATTAATAATGAAAATACACATCTGACATTCAGTAAAGATGCTACTTTCATAAGTGAAGGATAACATAAAAATAGTCCACACTATAGGTTTGGTAATACTATTACTAATATTAATAAAAGTGAGAGTGGTAGCCAATATTTATAGAGCACTTACACTGCATTGGGAGCTTTACATGCAATGACACATATAATTCATCAGTCCTTTGAGATAATGGAGAAACTCAGGTGCAGAGAGAGAAGGTAACTTGCCCAAGATCACATATCCAGTAGGTGACTTAAGACCTGTATTCTTAACCATTACCCTAGGCTGACAGGGAAAAGCTGAGTTATTCTTTTAAAGTAGCTTTTCCAATGGGGCTAGAGAAATATTCCTACTTTTGGGCTGTTTAAGGAACTGAGAGCTGGCTTGGGTTTGAATCTGATGTCAAACTTGATATTTCTGGCCAGTGAATTCCAGATTTACTCATACAATAAGGCTTTTTCTCTTTCAAGAACTTCTTCAAATATTTTTAGTAAGCCTTTAGATATGATTGGTACTACAACTTCATCTGGGTCTGTGTTTTTTGGGTACCAGGCATTGAACTCAGGGACACTCGACCACTGAACCACATCTCCAGGCCTATTTTGTATTTTATTTAGAGACAGAGTCTCACTGAGTTTCTTAGCGTCTCACTTTTGCTGAGGCTGGCTTTGAACTCATGATCCTTCTGCCTCAGCCTCCTGAGCTACTAGGATTATAGGCATGTGCCACCATGCCTGGCTCATCTGGGTCTTTTAATGAATTAGAAAGGGCTTTCTACTTGATTTCAGATGTGCAAAATCATAGATGGCCATCAGTGTTGTGTACTAAGGATCTCAGCATGGATGCTGGAGCACCCTTTACTCCAAATTCCAATTGCCATTAATAATCTTTGGGCTTCAGTTTGCACCTCTGTAGAGACAAGAAAGCTGTCCCATATGCTGAGACCTCTTCCTGTACTAATATTTAATAAGATACAGGAGAGTTTTGTTAAAGAGTTTTTTTTCAGCGTGTCCTTAGAATAGTCTTAACATTTAGTGTGCCTCAGAATATCTTGAAAGCCTTGTTAAATACATATTTCTGATTCAGTAGGACAGGGGTGGGGTGAGAATCCTCATTTCTGACAACTTCTGGATGCTGCTCTACCTATTGTGGTGGAGACGACTCTGACACACATTGATAAAATCATTCTGCAGTGGTTAGATCTAAGTTGCCATTTTATAATGCAGTTTTTAAGTGCACCTCTTATAAATTCACTGTAGTAAACTATCATTCTGACTTTATTCCATCTTTTATGTAATTCAGAGCAAATTCATTAACATTAAACCAAAATGTAGGTAAACATTCTGTTTCTAACTTGATGTAAATTAAATATTTTAATTGTGGTTTTTTTGAGTCAACATTTTCATAACTGAAGGACAGTGGAATATTCTGCACAATATTTCATGGAATTTTATTTGGTTTTGAAAGATTTGTGATAGTTTGGAACATTTTCCCTCAAAAAAGTAAATAAAGATATAATATCACTATAGAAGGAATTGTACATTATGAAGATGTTGAATAGTATTTATAAAAAGCAGTCTTCATAAACAAATCTTTAAGGAGAAAAGCATTTTTTGGTATAGTTAAGATTTTCTGACTGCATTTAACAATTTAATAAAGGAATCAGGAATTATGCTTTAAGCATCTGCCCTGGGCTGCTCTCTCTTGCCCTAGGAGAGCAGAGAGAATGTTTATTTTGTTTGATATCTAGAACAATGCCTGGCATAGCTAATAAATGTTTCTTAAAAGAACAAATATGTCAAGAAATATCAATAGGTATAGATATAAAAGAAATATTTGGCTCTTATCTTCAAGGCTCTTAAGCCTACTTGGAGAGAGAACCCAGGTCCTATTCAAGACAGATGCAAATAATATTTGTAAAACCTGCTGAGGGAGTCCAGTTCAGGAAGACAGAAGTGACAGCTGGACCTGAAAACGGGAGTAAGGTTGATAGAGGTAAAAGGAACAGGGTCAGTTCTTGTCTATGCAAATGGTAGAATTTGTCTTAGGAAGCTTTTCATGATCTGGCCTTTGCCTGTCTCTGTGGCTTCAGGTTTTACTGTTCTTCATTGCCCTCAAAGTCCATGCTCCAACCAGGGATGCTTAAATGTACACACACAGACACACACACACAGAGTTTCTGCATGAGCTATACCTTCTCCCTAAAATGCCATCCATGTCACACACCTCCACTCTCTTCTTTGTTAGCCTGACTTTGCTAAAGGGAGTATTTCTTCATGTCACAGGGTTTTCCAGTTCTTTCTTGTAAAGCACATCATGGACTCTTCCCAAGTAGACCCAGAACTTGGCAGATTGGAACTGGACCCTCTGACCTTTCTCCCTCAATACTCAGTTGTGTCTCAGGAAGATAGTCCCGAAGCCTTAGTATTTTCATCTTAGCTATGTTTTTGATTTAATCCATCTCTTTCTAAATCCATAGTCCTTACTCTCCCCAGCATTAAGACTATGAATTGATTTACATCCCATTTTTGCATTACATAGAAAAGTTTTCTTGGTTCTCCTCCTCCAGTCTGTGAGGATTAGAGCCATTTCTTCCTGCTTGTAGTTTAGTAGAGTGCTAGATCTGCAATTAAACTTTATTTTAATAAACATAGATGGCAGAGGTTTCTATAAATAACCAGTGCTGGAAAAGATCTAATGTAGGGGTAGGGCTGGTTTTATTTGCAGACTCATGGAGTCTAACTCTGTCTGTATCATGTATTTCTACATCATTATATATCTCAGTCCATTTACACTTTGATTATGGGATTGTTTACATATTTGGGGATATAGGTGGTGGTGGCAAAGCACACTGCTTCCAGGAAGATTTTACTTTACTGAATGCTGAAGGTTGTCATTCTGTATTTTAACTAACAAGTATTCTTTGAAGTCACACGAATTGATGGGAATTTTATGAAATAATCACAAAGTAGTTTGTTTGTTTGTATTTATATTTGAAACAGCGTACAGCCAAATTGAAATAGAACTGTCTGACTTTAGCAGAGGATTCAACTCAAAACAATACAGGGCAGATGATCCCACATTGAATGTGAGGTGCTAGAATACCTACCCAGGACTGCAAAGAAGGTATTGAAAGTCAGTTTTTTGACTCTTCATGGTCAGTATCCACCTTGAGGACTCAAAAATTCTGAGGCTGACAGTAAAGTCCTGGAGACCAAGGAGATGCATCATCTAAATCAAACATTCTTAACCAGAGTTAAAAGGACGTACAGTTCCATTGTGTGTTTAGAGCCCCTGGGCTGTAGAACTTAAACCTCTGCTTCCACTTTTACAGACATCATGGTTGTAAAATATATATAACATAAAGATATGATTTTAAACCTTTTGAGTATACAGTTACATTACATTTATGGTGTTGTATAATCATCATCACTATCTTTACCAAACTTTTAAAATCAACCCCAACATAAACATTGTACTCACACCTCTCCCCCACCCATGTTCCCATGTTCCACTCTGGCTTCTGCCCAAATTGATAGCTAAACTTCAGAACATCAAGAACCACTGCTTACACATTTCTAGGTGTTGCTATTGGTAGTTAATGAAAAAATTCTTGGTAATAAATGAGAAGTCTAACCTGGCCCTAAAGTTCTTATGTTCTGAATAATGCCATTCCAGTGCCACCTGGACCCTCCTTCTCCCTCTGCCCACCCAGGAAGGACAGTTTGAGAAGGAGTGCTGTTAGTAGCTATTAGAGACCAGTAGCCCAGCTGGGTCTTTTAGACTCTTCCTTCCTCTTGACTTTTTTCTAAACCACCAAATCTTGTTCTTGATTTCAGGAAAATGTATTATTGACTTGGGCTTTATTAAAGGGCTCATGATTGAAAGTCGGTGTCTCTTTCCCCTTTTCCTTTCAGAGCCCCCTGAGGAGGTCCTCACAGCTCCTAATGATTTGTGCTTTGGTTTGAAGTTGGGGAGTGTAGAATTGTGACCTTACAACTCAGACCTCATCTCTCCCTCTGTCACCATGCATTAGTGTCAGGACAGAAAATAATGGTGTAGAAAACAGTGTCTAGCTTGGGAGCTGGAGGACCAAGGAGCCCATGTTCTAGTTATGCAGCTTTATATGAATTGAGCCTCTTGACCTTAAAAAAACACAGCCGTCACTTGAACCTGTTACTGCCCTTCAAATGCAAGATGGAATTCTTACTAATCATCAGATAGGAAAGTATAGCGGAGAGTCCACAAATTTCAATGACTTTTTATTGAGATGAAATCATATAATAGACACAAATTTCAAACTTTAAAATTTACCCTAGGTTCACATTTCAGCTGTTCCTCTTCCTGAAAAGTCATTTCACCTCTCCTGGGACTGTTTTCTCTTGTGTCTCTTGTGTAAGATGAATATGGCAATATGAGTAACTATCTCACAAATGCTCTTCAATTTTTTTTTTCTGTAGGTTTATTGTAAGAAATATATTTGATTAGTAGTGACTGGCTTAGGCTTAGCTTTTAGGAAGTAGTAACTATGATTAATATCACTAGTAAATAATAAAATGCTATAATAAGCAATTGATTGAAATACCCATTTTTCACAAATGATTCAAGGTTCATAAAACACTGCACATGTTTTTTCAGTCTGACTCTCTGCTGCACCTTCTGCTCCTGTGCTTAGTGAGCAGAAGGCTCTTGCCCGGGCTGTCTCATGCTGAGAGCAATGGAGAGATGAAAATGGAATGGCACTCAGCCCCAGTGAGGTTTGGCCCCTTCCCACAGGGTGGTATTGAGGCAGCCTGGTAATCAACATGGTATTCCTAATGCCCAGCAATGCCAGGAGGTGTTCAGGGAGGCAGGAAACAGCACCAGGGGGTCACATAGCTGGTTATTCTGCCTATCACATAGATAATGAACCCCAGAGAGCTGGAAAAGGAGCTTGCAGTGACTTAATTCCTTTAAAAAATTCTTTTTTGTTTCATGTATGTCTTCATGTTTGTCCTCCTATAGACAGAGCACTTGTTTTTAAAAAAATTCTAATTATATGTTTGCCTAATAATATATAATCATATATCAAGTAAATATATAATTATGGAGTTCTTTAAATTAATATTATTTACTTGATTGATTTAATGATTCTGGAGCTATTAGCCTATTGTGCTAAAAAACAATTTAGCCCATTTTTAGCTGAGACTCATTCCAGATATTGAAATTTGGTGTGTGACCTTTAAAAATATTTGCTAAGACAACAAATTTCCTCTACTTTTAGGAAATCAACAAATCTACTTTTAGGAAAGCAAAACAAACTTGATTTACCTGTTCCTTCCTCAAGATATTGTACAGGTAGACAAATCTTATTATAAAAAGAGAGTGAGTGTCAGATGGGGTTCATTCCTTTATTCTTTTGTTCGTTCCCTCACTCAGCAAGTAACTGCTGAGCACCAGCCACCAGAGCAACAGCACATGGTTGGTGAACTCTGAGGTTACAAAGATGAAGAAGCTGTGGTCTCTTTTCTCGTGGAACTCTGTTGCTAGAGAGGGAGACAAGTATGAACAGTCAATTCAGTGCAGCTTGACAGTAAGTTAGCTTATTGTCTCTGTGAGTGTCTTATAGCACTCTGTGTGTTCGGGTGGTGCTGCTGAATTCTCACAATCCTTTAATGCTCACTTGCACTTCACACACAGGGAATTGAAGCTTGGAGAAATTAATGCAGGTACTATGTGATGAATACAGGCAAAAATCTAGCCTGTGGTCTTAACTGTGATGCTCTACTGATAAAAGCTGTCAGACACAAATATATACAAGGACAGAGGCACAAAGATGACCTCCAGTTTTTTAATTCAATGTCATTTCTATGCCTTGAGTATCAAATGGGGAGTACATTTAGGGGGTAAAGAATAGGCCTGAATCATGTTGGAGTTTAAATGAATAAGCCCAGTGCTGGATCACCCTGGATTGTTTTGTAGCTATGTCAAGCATTTCAAATACTTTGTTTAATAAACCATATTTATCATTCCAAAAAGTGTATAAAAATAGATAATCTGGACTTTTCCCTGCCACCATGCACAATTATTTTGTAGAAAAAAACTTACAAATTAACTGAAAAGAATGGGCTTTCTTGGCAGCTTCAGACAGGGAAACTCCACGTGTTCATTTCCGAGGCAATACTGTGGAGGCCAAAATAATTTCCCATTTATATTTTGATCAGTTGTTCTCTGGTTAACAAAAAAGGACCAACCAAAGAGACTCCTCCTGCTTCCCTTTCCCACTGTCAAGTATGAGGAAGGTGACACTTGGGTTTTCTTAGACCACGGTATTGCAGAGTACCTTCTAGTGAAACCACTCATATAGAACCTGTTCTTTCTCCAGAATTCTGTCTCATTAAATGGCACTTGCTTCTATCCTGTCTGGCCATTCAAGCCAGAAACAAGAGTATCATCCTTGGCTTTTCCTGCCTGTCCTTTTAGGTACAGGTATTCCACTTTCTTTCTGGCTCCTGAGCCCCTCAGGTATGTTTGCACCCACTGCCTCTAGGCTGGCCTAAGCCACCATTAATCCCTTACTTATCTCCTCATCAGCCTCCTGATTGGCATCCCTGACTTTAGTCTCTTGTTTTCCACCTCCGGTTTTCATGCTAATGCATGAGAAATCTTTGGGAAATACTGATCTGAGAGTCACTTTCCTTCTTAAGTGTTCTCCCACCTTCTTAAGAAGGCCTTTTATGATCTGGTCCTTTGGTCTTCACTCTTGCCATACAGAGCTTCATTCACTTTTTTAAACACAGCCAACTCTTTCTGATCTCAGAATTTTGCATTGGCAGTTACTTGATAAAACAATAATTGCTAGCATTTATTGATTGTTTTTTGTGTGATCCTGAGCTAAGGCCTGGAAATACATTTTCGTGTAATACCCACAGCCCTGTTAGGTACATAGGTAGGTACCATGCACCAGCACCATCTTTCATGAAGAAAGATAGATTTAAAGAGGTTGTGAAGTTTGCCCAAGTCAAAGGTTCTCCTTATTGTTTATTAGTTAAATTAGTGATATCTAAACCATTTAGGCTCATACCCAATATTTAACCAGTAGCCCGTTGTGATATAAGGATTAACATTCAGAGAACCTGAACTGCAGTGCTGGTGTGGATCAGCATTGTGACCTTGGACAAAACAAGTTCTGAGTCTATTTTCTTATCTACCAAATGGCATCATAATGTTCATCTTATCTGTTTGTTGTACAAATCAGACCAAGCAGTATTCCTGATGCTTCATAACATGCTAAATGGATATGTATATTAAGAAAATGAAGATACAAAAGATTTCTCCTTTGGAGTTGTAGATCCCTTCATTCAAAAAGAAAAATAAGACCCATGCATAGCCTCCCCTGGCTCATGTTACTGCACTTACCATGTTTTAACGAAAGCCAAGATAAAATTAAGGAACAGTGTGGGACTTACAACCTAAGCCAACAGTGAAGCATTTGGTAGGCAGCTAAAAGCTTTAATACTTAATAGAAATTAAATTCTATGTTACCTCAGAGAATATAAAAAAAACAAAATATGTAGCATAAATAGTCTTGTTTAGCGGTGAGGTTGTGGCTCAGAGGTGGAGCATTTGCCTAGCATGTGTGAGGCATGGGGTTTGATTCTCAGTACTACATATAAATAAATAAAATGAAGTTCCATCAACAACTAAAAAAAATAATTAAAAAGTCTTATTTAATTTAAAATGCATTTCACAATGTATTTTCATGCCTCTACAAGAAATAGCATTCTTTAAATTAAAGATTACTACATTAAAGCTGGGCTCAGGGGCACATGCCTGTAATTCCAGCAGCTTGGGAGGCTGAGACAGGAGGATCGTGAGTTTAAAGCCAGCCTCAGCAATGGTGAGGAGCTAAGCAATCCAGCGAGACCCTGTCTGTAAATAAAATACAAAATAGGGCTGGGAATGTGGCTCAGTGGTCGAGTGCCCCTGAATTCAATCCCCGATAAATCCTGCTCCCCCACCAAAAAAAAAAAATTACTGCATTAAATATTTTTTTTTTCTGTGTTTAGGCCCTGTTCCCAACTTTTCCTGGCTATAGTACAAGGAGATGTGGTCTTACTTTCAGAAGAAGTTCAATGTGACACCTTCTTCCTTTTGCTATGTTTCCTTAGGTCTCAGAATGCAGTTGGCCCATTAGGCAGGCTCCCAGTCTGCACAACCTCTTTGCTGTGTGTCGGAATATGTATAATTGGCTGCTACAGAATCCCAAAAACGTCTGTGTTGTCCACTGCTTGGTGAGTACCCATAGTTGGTATCTGTGGTTTGGTTTGGTCAGATATGGATGGTCCTGTCCAGAATGATGGATAGGTAACATTTGAGTTCTGCAGCTTTATTGAGCCTCTACTTAGAAGCTAGGCAGTTCGAGGAATGGAAAAATGAGGAAGAATGTATTATTTTTGTTTTAAAATTTAAATACTACTGGGAGAGGCAGATACATATACACAACCCACATAATGCAGGGACTCTAAAATGTGCCAAGTATTCTAAAAGAGGTAAAAATAAAAGCTGTGGGTACATAGGTAGTAATGCACTGAGTTTTCTGTGAATAGAGTTGACACAAACATATTGTCATATTTATTTTTTTCTTACAATTTGTATTTGAATAAATATAAGAGTGAAGCTCCCTCCGTCCTTGTAAATAGTTTAAATAGACTATGTTTTAGAGCAGTTTCCATGAGGACTGATGATTTTTCTGGGCATTGACTTTGTAAAGTGCCTTTCTCTAACCCTTTCTCTCAGGCCTTTTACTTGTCCTGTAAAACTCAACTTGTGATAAAATCTTTCTGATTCTTCTAAGCATTTTCACAGCGCAGATCCTCCCCCTGGGTATCTCAGTATTTTCTGTGGCATCTATCACACTGCACCATACTAAGCTGTTTTCCTGTCTGTTTTCCCACTAGACTGTTAGCATCTTATAGGAAAGAACTGTGTCTTTGTTACCCTTGTACCCCAGACAAGCAAGATTTGAATAAGCAATTGAAAACAGGAAAAAAATGAATGCACCAACGGAGTCTGAGCATAGTACTGGAAATAATTTACTGCTTCTAAAAATTTCAGAGTATATATATATATATATATATATATATATATATATATATATAATTTGGGTTTTTTTTGCTATGATATTACTGAATGATTTCCCCTCGCCTTCCTGAGAAGGGATTGACAATAATAATTAAGACAGAGCTGATAGATATTGAGGTAGTAAGAAAACCTCACAGTACTCAAAATAAATCTACTTTCAGGGCTTAAATTACATGACAGATTGCTAAAAGTACTCAGAGAAGCAGTTCTGGATCCCCAGTGTCCTATGAAGAAACAGGAAGAGGAGGTGCCAGGCAAGCCACAGGAAAGGATTTCTCTCAAAAGATGAAGGAGGCTGATACTGAAAAGTTATAAGCTGGTGATCCCTGATGGCCCTTCAGGGAAAAATTCTAATGAATCTTTTCTCAGATAATTTTTAAACTCTTATTAAAAAAAAAAGGAGTCCACATGGGTTTATTATAAATATAAATATCAAACCAACTAGACATTTTGCAGCTAGGCTAATAGACTAGTTTATTGAATTTCTGCATGAGATTTTCTAGTTTCTTGCAGTCAAGATGGAGAAATTTGGGCTGGGGATGTGGCTCAAGCAGTAGCGCACTTGCCTGGCATGCATGCGGCCCGGGTTCGATCCTCAGCACCACATACAAACAAAGATGTTGTGTCCGCCGAAAACTAAAAAATAAATATTAAAAAATTCTCTCTCTCTGTCTCTTTAAAAAAATAAAATAACATTGCTTATAAAAAAAAAAAAGATGGAGAAATTTGGCCTAGGTTGATATATATTTAGTTGGATGGGGGCTGAATATTTGCTTCCTAAGGTAGGTGAACAATAGATCAGTATCTTCATGGAGAAGATTTCAGTAGGTTGATGGTTATTTATCTATTTCTTTAGTCATATTGGGCTTTAATCCAGGGATACTTTACCACTAAGTTACATCTCCAGCCCACTTAAAAAATTTTTATTTTGAGACAAGGTATTGCTAAGTTGCTGAGGCTGGTCTTAAACTTGTGATCCTCCTGCCTCAGCCTCCTGAGTAGCTCAGATTATAGGCATCTGCCATCATGCCCAGCATACTTTGCTTTCTAAATTAACAAAATGATGAAAATGTGGAAATCATGCTTATCCATTTTCTTAGAATTGGGAGGGTCACATAATAGACCTGGATTTAAAAAGTTCTTGTAGTTTACTTGTTTAACAGAAACTAACAATGTGAAATTAAATATAGGATAAATGAACAGCCCTAAATTCTGATTCTGAAAGATTAAGCATGTTTGTCTATTAGCTTACCATGTGATCTGAGAAAGAAGTAGGGCTTTCGGTGGATATGAAGATCAACAGGAGCTTCTATTGTGGTTTAGCCTTCGTTTATTCTAGTTATGTTCATGAGAGCACAGTATCCAGACTAAGAAAGGTGATATCTTGCACTTCCCCTTGGGCAGCACATTTTAGGTTGATGTTTTAAAACGTTGGTCTGTTCAGAAAAGCATACTAAATGAAGAGGTCTCTCTGAGTGAAATTTCAAAGGACAAAGAATCCAAGGGATTGGTTTTGTTTTCACCTGGAAAATAGAACTTTTGATGGAGAGCACCGCAGGCAGTGAAGGACAGTCACAAGGAGAGAGGAGTAGACTTGTTTTTTTTTTTTTTTTTTCCTCATGGAAGGAAGAATGAAGGGCACCGAAAAGAAGCTGAGGAGGAATAGACTTCAACTCAACACATTCAGTATAAGGATGCGCTTTGTAAGACGGAGTGAGCCATAGCTGTTCACTTAAGAGCCTTCTAGAAGAGGCTGTGTCTGGAGTGTTGCTGAATGTTGTTTTAGTCATCTCAGGCTGTTAAAACAAAAACACTCCAGACTGGTTGATTTCAGTAGTAGAAATTTATTTCTCATGGTCTGGAGACTGGAAGTCCCAAGATCAGGGTCTCTACAGATTCAGTGTCTTCTCAGGGCTGGTTTGTCTTTTCTTTTGTATCCTCATATGCCGAGAGCAGATGAAAAGGAGTGGGGGAGGAGAGAGGGAGGGAGGAGGGAAGACTGAAGGAGAGAGGTGCCCTGTTCTTAGGATGCTAATCTCATTCATGAGGGCTCCACCTCAAATGCCTACTTCCTTATACCATTGCATTGGAAGTTAGCATTTCAACATGAATTTTGGGAAGACACAAATATTCAGTTCATAGAAGATCTATTCCTATGTTGAATGACGTTGTATCAATTGATATTTTAAATTTTATATTAATGTTGGAGCACATTTTGGGTTAAATACTTATGCAACACATCCCATCAAGTGGCATCTGCCTAATCTGTGAGCTCTTTACTTCTTGTCCTAAATCAAGAGGCCTCATCTGTGAGTTATGATGCCACAAGTCTAATGCAACTTTAAAGTCCAGAGCTACTTTAAAGATCACATTATTTTTCTTTGAATTTAAGTGAGTCAAATTATTTTGCTGGGCTTCTTGGGTTAGTATAGAGTGAGTTTTATCCTAAGAAAAAGTCTTTCCTGCTGCTTTGTGATTTTGATAGCTGGGACAAATTTTCGTTTTCCAATGAACAGTTTTGAAGTGAAAAACTCTTAGGAGGATTTCTCCCCTCCTTCTGTTAATTGCAAGTGCAGCCTTTCTCAGATTTGATCATGTTCTTGATGACTTTATGCATCATCTTTGATAGGATGGACGGGCGGCATCGTCAATTCTGGTTGGTGCTATGTTCATTTTCTGTAATCTCTACTCTACTCCTGGCCCTGCTATTCGATTGCTGTATGCGAAGCGACCAGGAATTGGACTGTCACCATCCCACAGGAGGTACAGTAAGCGAGGTGCAGGGTCTGAGCAAGTGTGGTCTGGTTGCTACTGTGTACAGTTTGGAGTCTGCCCTGTAGGTAGTTTCCTAACTTTCTTCTAATTTATCTGACATTATTCTGAACTATGGAAACTATTAATTAAGATATTGGATTTTTATGCACGTTCATGAGTCCCGTATGAGTTTGTGATTTTAAAATTAGAAAGAAACTTTAAAGAATGCTTATCTCTTCCTTCATTTTACAGGTGAGAGAACTGACTCAGATAGGTTGTAATTTGCCCCAGGTCTAAAAATACCTAATGCACATAGCCAGGATCTCAAGCTCTAAGACCAGTCCCTTTCTGATGCATCATTTAGGTCTTTATTGAAATACCAGCAGTAGCTGGTTTATTTATCAGATGATCATCACAATTAACAAGAGGAAATGCCAAAGTGTAGAGAGAATGAGATGTTTTAAAATTCACTTTTTATTATGAGAGGAATAAGGAAGTGGATTATAACAGATAATCTGAACAATGGCTTAAAAAAGGAAACCCTCTTTAGATAATAACTATTTATTTTCTTCTGTTTAGTCATAATTTCTTCCCCTGATTTACATTGTATCTTCTTACTTTTTTTGGATTATAAAAGTACTTCTGATGATAAAATTTTAACATCCAAAAATTGGTCTTCAGCGGTAAATTTAATCTGCTAAATGAAATAAGAATAGATGAACAAATATTAAGCTACTCTAAATCTCCCATAAGCTTTTGGATTTAACAAATACCCTGTTATCAGTTCTTTGGGGAAGTACAGCAAGGTCAGTGGATAAAATATTATCTGCATTCTCTTTTGCTAATTAATGTTGAATAAAATAACAGCAAATTTTTATTGCAATTTAAAGATTTGCAAGGACAAACTTCATAGCAAAAATTACCTGCTTCTCCTGTTGTGACGGGCCCCCTAACGGCAATCTTCTGTTTCAGGTACCTGGGCTATATGTGTGACTTACTAGCAGACAAGCCCTATCGCCCTCACTTCAAGCCTCTCACGATCAAGTCCATCACTGTCAGTCCCATACCCTTTTTCAACAAACAGAGAAACGGATGTCGCCCTTACTGTGATGTACTGATTGGAGAAACCAAAATATATACAACCTGCACAGATTTTGAACGAATGAAGTGAGTCTTATGATTTTTTTCCTTTACTTCTTCTTATATACTGCTCAATTGCTGTGTAAATTGTATTGTGTTCTTCCTGCAGGTCTATATCACTGTGGAATGGCTGATTTAAAAAAAAAAAATTCAATGTCAGTAGTGAGCATAGACAAGCATAACTAAATCAAAGGAGGCATGGCTCCTTTTCACATCCAGCTGTGCCATAGGCTAAGGGACTAGCATGAGCTACAGTGAGCATTGAGACAGTGGGGTGGGGAGGGCTGGGGTTGTGGCTCAGTGGTAGAGCACTGCCTAGCATGTGTGAGGTACTGGGTTGGATTCTCAGCACCGCATATGAATAAAAAAATAAAATAAAGGTCCATCACATCTTTAAAAAAAAATGTGCATGTTGTAGAGGGACAGAGGACCTGGACATTTAAGAGGGAGATGGCCTTGATGGGATTTAGTGAATCAGGGATGAATGAAGTCTCTAAGTGAGCAACTATGTAAATGATGACATAATTAGAGAAGTTATAGAATCTATAATGAAAAGGAGATACCAGTGGGAGGTTGTTGAAAATGGGGTGGAGAAAAAGAAATAAGTGGTAACTAAAGAGCAAATAGTTGGGAATAGAAGGAATTTGGGGATTAGTATTCAAGGCTCTCACAGACTGTGGCATTCCTGTTTCTATACGTAGCTTGGTTGAAGTTTTTGTTCCTTTAATCTCTGCTTTTACTACTAGCTTGAGGTTAGGAAAAGGTAAACACACAAGGGATGATACATTTAAGGAAAATAAGTCATCAGCAAAATAGAGATGGTCAGTTGTACTTTCTGGAAGTCCAGGTGAGATTGAGAGTCCATCAGACCAATGTCCTCCCATTGTGGAACCAGTTTTCCCTCAGTTGGCATGGGCTGCATTTCTGCTCAAGATAAGAAATGGTTTCTAGGTCCAGATCTAGGCAGATGGGTCTCTTGGCCAGGCCACAGAGCACTATGCCTGTGTCTGTGTAATTGTACCAGACTGGATAGCTTTTAATGTCTGTTTTGATTCCATTTAAAGAGAATACCGGGTCCAAGATGGAAAAATCTTCATTCCCCTGAACATCACTGTGCAAGGAGATGTGGTTGTCTCCATGTATCACTTGAGGTCAACCATTGGAAGCCGGCTGCAAGCTAAGGTACGCTTTCTGGAAGAATCATGGCATTAGCTCATCTGAGTTTTTAATAGTAATATTTTTTAATCTTCTCCCCAATCACTTTCGGGTTGAGTGAGTTGTGGTTTAAGAATGAGGAAGAGCCTTTAAAGGTTGCTTATGTCCATCTTCCTCATTTTACAGGGGAAGATACTGAGATTTGTAGAGGTATGACTTAGTAAAGTTCTTGGTATGATTACTGTGGAATTAAATAACTGTGTTTTTTCCCCAAATTTTTTAATGAGATAAAGTTCACATTACATAAAAGCCACCCTTTTAAAGTATATAATACAGTAATACAGTGGATTTTAGTACATTCAAAAGGATGTGCAACCATCAGAACTATGTAATTCCAAAGCATTTTTTTTATCACCCCTAAAAGAAACCCTGTTCCCATTAGCAGTCACTACCCATTTCCTCTTCCTTATCTCCAGACAACCATGAACCTACTTTCTGTCCCTGAGGGTTTGCTTAGTTTGGAGATTTCATATAAATGAAATCATACAATACATGGTGTCTTGTAGCTGGCTTTTTTTCACTTAGCATATATTTTTGAGGCTTATCCATGTAACAGCATGTATCAGTACTTCATTCCTTTGTATAGCCAAGTAATATTCCATTGTATGACTATGCCACATTCTATTAATCTTTCCATCAATTGGTAGATATTTGGGTTATTGCCTCTCTTTGGCTTTAAGAATGATGTTGCAAGTAATCATATTTTAATTAAACAAATTTCGCTGAGTTTATGCTCTGTTCTAGCCATTGCCTAGGTGTTTAGGATTGAAAAGAATATGACTGTGTTCCTGCTGTTAAGAAACTCAGCCCAGCAGGAAAAATTTACACATGTTTAAAATATCCATAACACCATATGGAGGGGAGATGAGGTGCTGCAATAGGAACAGTTTGTTTTAGCCAGTGGTAGCCCCCATAGGCTCCAGATAGGATATGCCTTTCAAGGGTGGGCCAAAAAGGATGAGTTCATTGGGTTGGAGCAGGGCATCCTGGGAAGAAAGAATACGATGAGTGGAAGCATGGCAGTGTACCAGAACATGGGATGGGGAAACAGTGGATGAGGAAACAGCTTTCCAAGGCAGAGTTCGTGAAAGGGAGAAGTGGGAGACGTTTAATATTCATAGTAAACAAAGATTCAGATGTAGAAAGAGTTGAAGGTTCATGGCTCCCCAAAATATAACATCTTGATCGCATTCCCCTTTCACTGGTAAATTGTAATTTTTTTTTCTTGGATATTTTTAGGTGACCAATACACAGATATTCCAGCTTCAGTTTCATTCTGGATTCATACCTCTGGACACAACAGTATTAAAGTTCACCAAGTAAGTACTGCTCGGACTGAAAGCCTGTTTGCACTGGGTAGCTAGCTGTGCAGTGTTGAGTTTCTTTAGTGCCATGGTGCATTCCCCCTGAGTCCTGTGCTGCTAGATCATTGAGTGTAGCTTCACCACACAGAGAGGCTGGATATATCTGAAAACTTTCCATTGAATATGACCTGTCTTAAGAAGTTCGAATAGATCCAAGACTTGCAAATAGAAAGGTTTAAAATTGCCATGTGAAGGAATATACTAGTCAGTTTCCCACCAATGTGACAAATACCTGAGAATATCAATTTAAAGGAGGAAATAATTATTTGGGCTCACAGTTTCAGAGGTTTCAGTTCACATTTGGCTGGCTTCAAGGAAGAAGAATCATGAGGAAGGGTGTTGCAGAGGAAAGCTGCTCACTTCAAGCCATCTGGGAAGCAGAGAGAGTGAGAAGAGGGTGGGGCAGGCCAGGGACAGGATATAGTCCCAAATGGTAAACACCCAAGAACTCAGTCTTTTTGACTAGTCTCCACCTCATATAGTCCATTTACCTTATTATTCCACTAATAAGGTTAGAGCTTTTATGATCTAATCATTTCCTAAATCCCCACCTCTGAACATTACTGCACTGAGGAACAAGCTTTCCACACTGGAGCTTTTGGAGGACATTCCAGACCCAAACTATACAGGGAGCAAGAGTGGACAAAGAAGGAACAAAGTATTACTACTTTGATCCTTTGCATCTGTGTATTTCCATATGTTTCCTTCAGGAATGGCAGTTAAATCAGTGGTATGGAATGATTAGTGATCCATCAGAATAGATAACAGGCTAGAACACTAAAGCAGGGTTCTGGAGGAGCCCTCTGTACCAGACATTGGCCCTCAGTTGCAATATCGTAGGGTGGTTTGATAACTTGGGGGTAGCCAAATTTGTGATAGGTGAACATTGCTGGGGCCAGGATAGGGACAGATATTCAAGGTTCAGAATGTCGGTCATAGCCTGTTTCACTCTTTTAATACCTGACTTGGCTATGCCAGGGCAGCCTGGCTGGATGTATCAGTTCTGCTTTCCAGAGTGCTCTTATATTTGCAATCTCCGTATTCTTTGAATAGGACTTTATTCTCTTTTCTTGAGATGAGGAAACTGAGACACAGAAAAGTAAAGTACTATATCTAGCTAATGATTGAGTCTTCTCTAGAAATGAGTTTCTAGTTAACCTGAAAGTCTACCTATGGTGGTTGCTCTGCTGAGCCTTATGCTGGTTTCATTGCTTTTCATTGGCCTTATTCTTTTAAATCCCTTTGTAGGCCTGAGTTAGATGCATGTGATGTACCAGAAAAATACCCTCAGCTATTTCAGGTGACGCTGGATGTAGAACTACAGCCCCAGGACAAAGCGGTAGACTTAACCCCACCATGGGAGCATTACTGTACAAAAGATGTCAACCCCAGTATCCTCTTCTCTTCTCACCAGGAGCATCAAGATACTCTGGCCTTAGGAGGTATTTATTTTTCAGGTCAAAAGTTTGTGTTATTTAGCACATTGCGTATTCCCTGTGTTTCACTGGTGCTACGTGGCTTTTTGTCTTGCAGGACAGGCTCCAGCAGATCTCCCTCCAGACAACCCCAGGAATTTGGGGCAAAGTGGCTTCTTTGCCTCTCTCTGTTGGCAAGGTACTTTCAAGCATTTCTCAAACTTTACATGGTTAGATGATTGTGGTTCTTCTGTAGAGACACTTAGCTTTTGAAGCAGTCTAAATTAAAGTAGCAATTAGAAGTTATTCAGGCTCCTTTCCCCTTATTCCATACCCTTCCCCCTCATTCCTTTCTCAAATTCCCTATTTTCAACTTCATGAATGCACTCAGACTGATGCAGAAGGCCATTTTCAGCTGACTTCTATCTCCTCTGTGCTGTGTTCTTGGCCGTGTCTTTCTTGGTTTGATGGATAAGTGTGATATTTTCTAAGATCCCCCTTTAGACTACTGACAATATAAATAAATTAGCAAAGAATTCTCTTTCCTGCCTTCAATTAAATATTCTAAAAATATGTAGTCAAGCATTTCTTCCAAAGTGCCCTGAGCACTAGCTGGGCAGAACTGAGCTTACGTTGACACAGGTAAGGCAAACACCTGGCCTCTATGTCTCTGTCACTTATTTTAACAATCATTAGCATAAATTTGGGGCTCCATTACTGTATTCTTTTTTTCCCTAACCTGAAGATGTTATCAGATCCTTCTCAACATAGCATTTCAGACTGCTGCCATTAGTAGCATTGGCATCCTAATCCATATAGATCAGCTGTCTTCACTTTAGAGTTTGCTGAGATTAAGTGCAAGCTTTGGTGTAGAATTGAATAGTTGGGACTTTATGTAGGAAAGGGTGACAGATGGCTCTTTGGATGACCTAGTTAAAACTCTTAGTTGACACTCTTCTGATGTGTCAATGTGAGTTCCTATTCCTTTAGCTTCTAGATGTTTTCAGTGTTTGTTGAAAAAATTATCCATAGAATTCATTGGAATTGAAAGACTTACTTTCAGAATTTTCTTTTGAGAAATGGAACCCCAAATTTCTCAAACTTGGATAAACCCAGTAAATAAACCCAGCAGATGGATTTTGCAACATTTTCTTGTTTTTTTTTTTTTTTTTTTTTTTTTTTACCTTGTGTCTTCCTCACAGTAAGGACTTTAATAAGTAAAATTTCACTCTTACCTTTCCATTGCCAATTTTGTAAACTATTTGTAAATTATAAATAACTTCTGTAGTCTCTGAAAGAGATTTTAGCACAGACGCACAGTCTCTTTATCTGAACCTCTTAGAGCTAGATATGTTTAGGAATGCAGATAGGTGATACAGTATATAAGCTAGATATTTCTTAACATCTCCAGTGGTATCTCACACAACAACTTGTAATCAAGCGTGCTAATATTTCTTCAGTGAAACCTGTAAGGAAAACCCTAAGTGAGACTAATGAAGTCTAAATAATATCATATCCATTCCAGTCAGGTTTTTCTGCCAGCTGAGTTTGCACCAAACTTAGGAAAGCCTTTCTCTTTTCATAGTTTTTTTTTTTTTTTCCATTTCAGAATTGGGTATTAGGGGTGTGGACCTCAACCTGATTCAGAATGTGAGTCCATCTGACTCACATTATATTATATAACAATGCTCTGTGGGAAGCTCATCTCAAGCAAGGCCTGGAAAGTCATTCACTGTCTCTCTAGTCCTTTCCCAGAAGAGGCCTTTGTGCTGAGCCCATTTTATGCTGAAAGTATCTTCTTTCAGCTTGGTATAAGGATCATCTGAAGCAGAGCCATTCTGTGAACTCAGCAGGTGTGTGAGTTCCTTCTGCATCAGCCAGTGGGAGAACGGCCTTGCTTTTGTTTGCAGGCCACACAGAGAAATAAAAAGTCAGTGAATGGTGTCCACAAAGGACGAAGAGTTACTGTTCTATTTTTTTCCCCAAAAAAATCACCTAGCCTAGTGCCTGGAAATTAATAATCGTAATGATAATAAAAATTTGACTTGGACGTGGTGCTGTATGCCTGTAATCCCAACTACTCAGGAGGCTGAGGCAGGAGGATTGAAAGTTTGAAGCCAGCCTAGGCAATTTAGTGAGACCCTATCTCAAAATAAAATTATAACTTTTCTGAGAGGTTCAGATTAGAGAGTGTGCATCTGGATGTGTAGCTCAGTAATAGAAGAATGTTCTTTGGTTCAGAATAAAAATCATCATCATCATCAACAACATTTAGGTACTCCTTGCTGTTGATCTGAGCACTTTATAATATTATCTCACATAATTTTCATAATAGCCTGTGAGTGAGGTACTGTTTATTACCCTGTTTTGCTGAGGAGGAAACAGAGAAGTAAGGTAACTTACCCAGTGTCACAGAGCCAGTGAGTAGTGGAGCTGGGGTTCAATCCCAGGATGCCTGGCTCCCGAGTCCTACTCCATATCCTAATGCTGCCCTGAATCTCAGATGCTCAGCCATGATAGATGAATATAATATAAAAAGTGTTCCATTGGATGGATCCCAAAGCACTATTTGCTCAAGGCTGAATCCTTCTCTCTGGAATGATGTGCAAATAATGTAACAAACCCCAACAGCACCGTGGTTGGTAACTAACTCTTTCTTTGGCTACTGGTCTTCCTTAGATCAGAAATCAGAGAAATCATTTTGCGAGGAGGATCATGCTGCCCTAGTGAATCAGGAGAGCGAGCAATCCGACGATGAACTTCTGACCCTTTCTAGTCCACATGGCAATGCCAATGGTGACAGACATCATGGCGCCAAGAAGCCCAGCAAAAAGCAGCAGGAGCCAGCCGCTCCACCACCCCCTGAGGAGGTGGACCTTCTGGGTCTAGAAGGTTCTGATGTGAGTAAGAACTTCTCTCCACCGGCAGCGCCTCCCTCCAATTCTGAACTACTGAGTGACCTGTTTGGGGGTGGAGGTGCAGCTGCTCCTGCCCAGGCTGGACAGTCAGGGGTGGAAGATGTGTTTCACCCTAGTGGACCTGCATCCACCCAGTCGACACCACGCCGTTCCGCAGCCTCAGCCTCCGCATCGCCAACCCGACGACTGGGAGAAGGTAATTTTTTTCCATTGCTCTGTAGTTCTGAGATTTGAATGATAACTTTTGGGCCAGAAAGGCAGAATTGTCTTAATAAGCTGGGCCTTTTCAATTCCCTGAAAGTCCCTTAGAAGTCTATATTTAGGTCTTCATTTAATTGGAGAACACAAGAGAAAAATGGAAATATTATTCATTTGGTATTTTTCTTTTGTCAGGATTTCAGGCCTGAGAGGCTTTAGTTACTTTTTTTTTTTTGGAGATGTAGATGAATGAATTATTATTAAAAGTAACAGGGCTAGTTGTGGCTCAGTGGTAGAGCACTTGCCTAGAATGTGTGAGGCCCTGGGTTCGATTCTCAGAACCACATATAAATAAATGAATAAAATAAAAGTCCATCAACATCTAAAAAAAAAATTTAAAAACAAAAAAAGTAACAACTAATGCTGGGTGCCTATAATCCCAGTGGCTTGGGAGGCTGAGGCAGGAGGACCACCAGTTAAAAAGCAGTCTTAGCAACAGCGAGACACTTAGCAACTCAGTGAGACCCTGTCTCTAGATAAAATACAAAAAAGGGCTGGAAATGTGGCTCAGTGGTTGAGTGCCCCTGAGTTCAATCCCCAGCCCCGCCCCCCCCCAAATAAAACCTAAAAAAAAACCCCAGCTAATATTTGTGACATATTTACCATTTGCCAGATGTGGAATATAACACTAAACATGATTCAGTTATTAGCACCTCTCTATTGGGTTTTTGTTATCATTATCCCCATTTTATAGTTGAATTAGTAGCATATATAGCTGATGCTCAATGGGGTCAGGGTCCAAAACTTGGCCATTGTACTCCAGAGCTTTCCTTCAGATTTCCTGCAGTGCCTTCCTATAATTGTAGTTTTCTGCATATACTTTGGCTATGCAGAGAAGTTTTTGGTTATCTCAGAATTTACTTAGGGAACTAAATTAGCTCTTATCTGTGATGTTCAGCATTTTACTTTTCATTATAGAGAATGCCTCTGACCTAAGGTGATATTAAAAGTGCCAAGTCATGGTGAGATTTTAGCATATTCCAGAGGATGGCTTCAAACCCAGATGTAGAGGGATTAGCCCAAGAACTCTTATAATTACACTAAAAGGTTTGGAGTTCTCATTTTATAGAAAAGATAAGGTTTTGTGCATATTATTTTTTTAATTTTATTTATTTATTTATTTTTTTATTGGTTGTTCAAAACATTACAAAGCTCTTGACATATCATATTTCATACATTAGATTCAAGTGGGTTATGAACTCCCATGTTTACCCCAAATACAGGTTTTGTGCATATTAAATGAGATAAGGGATCTATTTCATGTGACAGAGTGTCTGAAACTGTCAGTACCTTGCTGCTAACAGAGGCTTGTCTGTGGCCCAGCAGATGCCAGGAGAGCATTGTGTGAAAGAAGTCATGGCTGTAATCTTATCAAGCTATGTGTCCTTCCTGCACTGTGGAAGTAGGGTTGGTTGGTTAAGTGGTTTGATTCTCCTCTGTTCTCAGAATGGGTTAATCCCCTTCTAGGAAGTAGCCATTAGCTCAGTGTTTAAAGATTAAGAAGTGACATCTCAGGAAGACTGAAGGGGATTTTGTGCCTTGTTCAATAAGACAAATTAAGGGCCAATTAACTCCATGCATCTCAGCGATTTTCATCCCATTCATTTCATGACAGTAAGAAATGTGAAGTGCTTTTGGGAAATTCCTGAGAGTTGGAGTCAGAAGACTTGAGCATGAGTCCCAGTCTTATTCTCTTGACCTTAGACAAGAAACTGGATCTTCTGAGTTGTATTTTTGTTGTCTGTAGACTGAAGATGATGCCACTTCTATCTGGCAGGATGACATTGAGGATCAGCTGAGGTCTTCTTAATGAAAGACAATGTAAACTCTCAGAAAGGATGGAGTCTTGATTCTTGGAGCATTATTCCCAATAACCCTGGCTTCCCACTTTCTTCTGGTCTTTTCATCATTCACAAACTTTTCCTTGCTTTACTAATTCTGCACCTGGTTTCTAGCAGGTTTTTTTTTAATATTCATTTTTTAGTTGGACACAATATCTTTATTTTATCTATTTATTTTATGTGGTGCTGAGGATCGAACCCAGGGCCTCACATGTGCTAGGCGAGCGCTCTACTGCTGAGCCACAATCCCAGCCCTCTAGCAGGTTGTTGAAAAGCTATGTTTTGGAAATGTTTGCATTCCACAGGACCCAAGCAAGACATGACACGAATTAATTTTTTTTCCCCACTACTCTCATTTTAACTTTCAAGGGAGCCAGAGTCCGTTTAGAGACAAAACTAAATGTAACTATTTGTTGTGATTTCCTACTGTTTATCTGAATAGCAAAGGCCCTCTTTCTGATGTTTGTTCATAATTCATTTAGCATGAACATTTACACAAGCACAGTCTAGTCATCAAAACCCTCTGTCAGTCTTGTCTTCTCAGGTTCTCTGTAATCTTGATTGACTTATTTCACATTATTAAGATTTTCAGAGGTCAAGGGGGCCTTCATTTATTGTTTTTATGGTTTATCCAACAGATAAGTCTAGACACCTCCTTGATCTACAAAAGGTGGGCTCATTCTTGTGTGGTCAGAAATCCTTGGGATCCATTGTTAGCTATGGAGGAAGTTTCAAGGATAGAATGGGCCTGTGGAGCAGGTCTAGAGGCACACATCATCCTGATTCCTCAAGTATTTGGCCTAGGGCCAGGCAATAGTGACAACTCTTCAATAGTCATAAAATAGCTGAACTTGTAGAACAAAGCAATGTATTTTTACTATTGTTTTCTAGGTACCACCTTTGACCCATTTGGAGCACCTTCTAAACCATCAGGTCCAGATTTGCTGGGTTCTTTTCTGAGCACATCCAATGCCTCCAGTGACCCCTTTCTTCAGCCCACGAGAAGCCCTTCACCTACAGTGCATGGTAAGAAAGTATCTTATATTGTGTTTAGTGGAACATAGTTTTCCACAAGATATCAGTAAGAAATAAAAGTATCCTTTGGGTGCCTTTTTGGGTCGGTGTATGTGGGGGCTTTGTAATATATCTCTCTTTTGGAGATTAAAAATTTACATTAGCATATTAAAATCTCTGAGATGTCTTACAAGACAGAAGCCTGCTTTGTTTTACTTAACTTTTCTAAAAACTTGACTGTGAAATTCCTTTTCACATGAGAGTTATGTACACAGAAGCATAAGGCACTATTGATTGTACTGCATATCATTATTTTATGTACCAATAGAAAAAGAAAAAGAAAAAAAAAGCACTGTCAATTTTAATTGATTGGAAGATATGTCTTGCTTGGAGAAATCTTTGAAGTGTGGAAAAATAGCAGACTTCAATTAATGAAACATGGTGTTAGCATTCCATGAAATTAGTATTCTATAGAACAAAGTTTGGGATATACCTCCCTTATTTATTAAAGACATATATGGCTGCAGAGTCCTGGAAATGTGACTAGTATGACTTGAGACATGCTTTAAGTATAAGATATATACTAGATTTCAAAATTTAATGTTCAACAAGACCATAAACTATCCTGTTAATATTTTTTATATTGATTGCTTATTAGAATAATATTTGGGTTATATTGTTAAATAAAAAATATTTTTAAAATTAATGTTACTGATACCTTTTTACTTTTTAAAATGTAACTACTAGAAAATTTAAGATTACATATGGACCCACATGATATTTCTATGGCAGAGATTTAGGATGTATGGAAAAAATAGCAATCATAATGATGTGTTAGTGCAGCAGGAATATATTGCTCAGGTTATACTGATTAAAACTGGAGCTCTTTGGTTAAGGGCAAATGGCTTTAAGCCAAATTGATGCTTTCTCCTGATGTTGACTATCACTGGCTTCAACCTAGAGGGCAGTGTAATATTGAAGTACCTTAAACTTAAGGGTTAATGGCCATCTAGTTATCAGTTTGATCTTGTGGAAGTCATGTAAATGCAAAAGGAAGATGAGTTGTGCAGCATTGGTCAACCTGTAACTTGGCTAAAAAAGAAAAATCCATCTAGGAACAACTTTTTTTTAAAAAAATATTTTATTTATTTATTTATTTATTTATTTATGTGGTGCTGAGGATAGAGCCCAGCGCCTCGCACATGCTAGGTGGGCACTCTACCGCTGAGCCACATCCTGGCTCCTAGAAACAAATTTTATGGGTGATTTCCAACAGTTATTTTCCCCCTATAATGAGGATTAAATCTAGGAACATGGTACCTCTAAGCTATATTCCCCATCCCTTTTTTAAAAAACATTTATTTTTTAGTTGTAGTTAAACACAACATCTTTATTTTATTTATCTATGTGGTATTGAGGATCAAACCCAGGGTCTCGTATGTGCGAGGCGAGTGCTCTACCGCTGAGCCACAACCCCAGCCCTCCCCATCCCTTTTTATTTTGAGACAAGTTCTCACTAAGTTGCCCATGCTGGTCTCAAACTTGCAATCCTCCTGCCTCACCCTCCTGCATTCCAACTGGTCTTTACTCTTAAACTACTTGAAATGGGTCTATAGGAAAATACACAAGAAGTTTACTTCTCATACATGAGTGGTGCCCTCTTATTTATTTTTAGTTGTCAATGAACCTTTATTTTATTTATTTATATGTGGTGCTGAGGATCAAATCCAGTGCCTCACATATGCCAGGCAAGTGCTCCATCACTGAGCCACAATCCCAGCCCTGCGTACTGTCCTCTTAAAGAGTGTCTCCTCCATGCTTTTAGGATATATATATATACACACACATACACATACATACATACATTTCCCTTTCCATTGTACTTATTAACTTCCAATACATGGACTCACTTACATATGCATCACAGAATGAATATATATATATATATGTGTGTGTGTGTATATATATATATATATATATAATTCTGTCACAGATAACTCAAAAGAACGAATGAAATAAAAGTTTTAAAAAGTTGTTATTTTTGCTTACTCATTTACAATGTAAGTCTTGTCATGGTGGTGCTCAAAATGATTCCATTTCATACAACATGAGAACCAAATTGTTGCAGTGGTGTGTGTGGACCCTGTATGCCTTAGCAACCTCATGCCTCTGACCTCATTTCCCATTTTCTTCCCCTTGCTCTTATCTTTCCAACCCTACTGGCCTCTTTGATATAGTACCAGTTCTCCTCTCTACCTCAAATACTTCTTCCTAGACATCTGTGTAGCTAACTCCTTCAATTCCTTTGAGTCGTTGCTCACTGTTACTCTCTCAATGGGGTCTATTCTGCTTCATTTCAAATAGCAGTTTATTGTCTGCCCTGTTCTACATTTCCCTTTCCATTGTACTTATTAACTTCCAATACATGGACTCACTTACATATACATTACGTGTATTTTTTGTTCTTACTAGAACATGTGTCCCACAATGGCAGGGATTTTTTTGTTTATTTTTGTCCATGAATGTGTCCCTACTGCCTGACAAGAATAACTGGCACACAGTAGGTGCTATCTTTCTAATATGTAATTATTAAATTAATGAACTCAATTTTTGTCCTACCAAAGTTTCTTAGATGCATGAGCTGGTGAGTGTAAGGTCATTCAATGAGGTTAATGCTCATTTCCTGAGGTTAATGCTTTGAAGTTACTGTTTTGAGGGCAATACTTCTTTTGATGCCCCTGGACATGAATGCTCTTACTTCAGCCTGGCAAATGGGATCTAGTTCTGGTTTTTGTGAGCTGATTAGACCCAGCTTAGGCCAGGTATCACTCCTTTATTTTGTAACTATGTTTCTCATTTTGGTATGTCATGCCAGTGAGTGAGAATTTTCCATTATCCTTTTTGGGAAAGAAATTATTATTCTACTGTTAGTCAGTTACATCATCTTCACGTGGGACAGCACATAGGTAAGAGTCTGATGTCAGCATGGGGAGGTCAGATCACCCACCTCCAAATTCTTGGGGTGCTTCTCCCAGGTTTTAAATAAGCTATCACCAATCTCCTCTAAAGAATCAAGAAATTTGAGCTCAATAAATATTTTTTGAATAGCTATCCTGAAGAGAATAATCACTAGGGAAATGGTGTTGGAAGCACAAGTAAACAACTGACCATAAAGAAAGGCAAAATAGAGTTTTAATTATTAGGTAGTTGTTATTATTTTTTGGTTACATATTCCTATCTCTGGCTGATTGTAAGTTCTCAGGGTTAGGCAATGTGTCTTTTAGGTTTCTGCTCCTTGGTATGGTTCCTTGCATATGGTAGGTAGTTATCAGGGATTTCTGGGTTTGATTGTTAATAAGTTTGAAGTTCTAGTGATTTGTAGGGATATAAGACTAAGATCAGAGTTTAAGGGAAATCAGATAGCAAATTTGTCTAATTTCCACTTCAGATTTCATGTGGGAAAAGAAGGGAGGAGCAGAAAGGAAAGAGTCATTATTGCCGATAATAGTGTGTGCTTTTTAACGTACAAATGGGAAGATACTTTGTGTTAGCATTTTACTTACTCATTTTTATGGGCAAAACTTAATGGTACCTTAGAAAGAAATTCTTTCTTACAGCAGAACATTTCTTTCAAATTCTATGTTTGGATCTTTGAGAAGGGTCAGAATGATCTATTTTGAAGCTGTAATAGGTTTTTGTTGAGTGACAAGAGACACACCCCTGTCACCAGCATAGTGGGTGGTATCCAGTCATTGCCCAATACATGCTCTGAATGACTCATAATTCTCAGTTCATGTCATAACAGAGGAGAAAACGGAATTTCAGTTCTAAGTGGATCATGCTTCAGTACCTTTGTTAATGCTGAGCTAAAGAGAATTGAGTTTAAGGATTTTCCCCTAATTTTCTTATTGCCCACTCCGTTAAGTATAGAGGTGGGAAACACAAAGTTGAATGAGAATTCTTGCCTTCAAGGGAGCCACAGTTTAATGAAGACAGATACACACAATTATAATCCCAAGTGGGTAAACACTGCGGTAAAACAAAGGTGGTGCAAAGAAGGATCAGAGGTGAATAATCTATGGCTTCTCTGAAACCTTATGTGAGCATCCATAGAGAAAGGCAGAAAATGCTAAGTGCTACAGAGTGTGGAGGCAGCTCAGGAGAAGTGAGCGGTGGGAACTTGAGAAGCTAGGCAGGCTCTGCTGAAGGGGTGGCTTTGTCCTATATAAACTCAGGAAAGTGGCCTCTGAGGGATCTTGTTCTCACTCTTTTTCTTCTTGCCCTTTGCAGCTTCTAGCACCCCTGCTGTGAATATTCAGCCAGATGTCTCTGGAGGTTGGGACTGGCATGCTAAACCAGGTAAATGCCAGCAGGTTCTTTTTGGTACACATTTAACCAATTACTAATTGCAAACATAATCCTTCACCCAAGATGAGGTGAATGCCTAAAACAGGGGGTTATATTCCACCTATGTAGTTTGTTTTTGTCATCCCTAAAGATGACATGATGTCATGACAATATTACTCCTCACTCTCACCTGCTAAATATCTATCTTGACAATTGAATCAGACAGATCTGATGCATGTCTAACTCTACCACTGAGAAACTTTTGAATTTTTTGATAAGTTTTTAACCCAGGTTTCTTATATGCAAAATGGAGATAATAATTGTTATCTCCACAGTTATGTAAGTTTAAGTGAAATAACATAAATGTTTTCACTGAATAAATAAAAATATTTTTTCTTCATAAAATGCTTGTTTGGGGTTGGATCTGTTTGTAACATATAAGATCTCTTTCTCAAGGCTACTCTGTCTTCAACTGAGAACTGTCTGTGTTATCTGTCACTGAGTTCCTAACATTGTGTGCACACACACACACACACACACAGACAAGGTACTTAGCAAAACTTTCTGAGTCAGTTGTTGTTTCCTTTTGTTTTCATTATGGCTTTAAAAAAGTCATAACATAAAAAAAATCTATCTTTCCTACAATTTCCAAGAACACAGTCAACACATGCATATTGTACAACAGATCCAGAACCCCCTGCCAATCATGCATGATTGAAACTCTACATCCACCAAAAAACAACTTCCCATCTCTCACTCTCCTCAGCCCCAGGTAATGATTGTTCATCATTCTACTTTCTGTCTAGGAGTTTGTACACTTTAGATACCTTAAATAAATGGAATCTTACAGCATTTTTCTTTCTGTGACTGGGTTATCGTGTTTCATGTATCTCAGGTTCATCCATATTGTACTACATGAGGACAGTTATTTCTTTTTAAGGCTGAATAATCTTCCCTGTTACATATGCCACATTTTCTGTCTTTCACTGTCAATAGACACTTAAGTTGCTTCCACCTCTTGGCTGTTGTGAATAACGCTGCAATGAATGTGGGTGTGCAAGTGGCTCTTTGAATTCCTGCTTTTCATTCCTTAGATTTATACCCAGAATTTAGGGTTGCTAGATCATAGGGTAGGTCTACTATAAAATTCTTGAGGGACCTTCATAACTATTTTCTACAGAAGCTGCACCATTTTACATTCTTACTGATAGGTGCCTAAGGATTCTAGTTTTTTCACACCCTCCCCAGCACTTGTTATTTTCTGTCATTTTGATAATGGCCATTCTAACAAGTGTGGGGTTGGTCATATCTCATCATCATTTTGATTTGCATTTCCCTAATAATTAGAGATGTTGAAAATCTTTTTATATGCTTGTGGCCATTTGTAAGTTTTCTTTGGAGAAATGTGTGTTCAAGTTCTTTGATTATTTTTCAACCATGTTATTTGTTAATTTGTTATTCAGTTATAGAAGCTTTTTATATATTCTGGATATTAACCCCTTATCAGATATGACAGTTGGTGAATTCTTTCTTTCATTCCATGATGTGTCTTTTTACTCTGTTGATTGTTTTCTTTGCTGTGCAATTTTTAAGTACAATGTAGGACCATTTGTCTACTTCTTCCTTTTATTGCTTGTGATTTTGATTTTGTAGTATTTGTTTTAAAAAAAATAGTAAAGCGTTGAACTCAAAGATGCTGGCCAAGATGCCCAAGGTCATTTAGGTAGGAAGAAGCAGAGCCAGAATTCTTCCCATCCAGGCCTGACTCCAAATGCCATAAGAAAGAATGAAGTCAGGCAACAGGAGAGGGAAACAATGAGAATCATAATTACCGTGAGTGGCCAGGAAAGAGCATGTGCCTGTTCTGTGCCTTGTCCTTGTCCCTGTCACCGTTCACCAAGTCAGAGAAACAGGGTCTAGAAACTCCTGATACATTTCTAAACCCTGTCCTAATTTGGCTGAGAGACAAATGACTAGTAGCTTTAGAATTCTGAATTTTAGAATTCAGCCTTTGAGAACTGACTCATTTTCAATAATCTTATTTCCTTCCTAGGAGGTTTTGGGATGGGAAGCAAATCAGCTGCCACCAGCCCAACAGGATCCTCACATGGCACTCCTACCCATCACAACAAGCCCCAGACTTTGGATCCTTTTGCTGACCTTGGGACACTAGGTACAAGCATCGCAGGTTAAAATATAAATGACAATTGAGGCTAAAAAGCTTCAAATACAAATCTCGGTCATCACAGCTGTCACTGCTACCCAGGATCTAAAATAGTATATACACTTAAGCTATATTCTGAAAGTTGAAATTGAAATTTTTTAAAAAGGCATTAAATATTGGGTTGGAAATAATTTCTATTAATTAGTTTTCCTACTGCCTGATCTTGATAATGGCCATCCTAACATGTGTAAGGTCATTCATATCTTATCATCATTTTGATTTGCATTTCCTTAATAATTAGAGATGCGAGAATCTTTTTATATGCTTGTGGCCATTTATAAATTTGTAACATGAATGTAGTTAGAGCTTCTAGGAGCATATGACACTAGGGTTTGGCTGTAACAAAGGTAATGTGTAGAGAAATGGTCAGAGATGAGGGTGGTCAGGTGGATTTGTATCACATGATGCCACCCTTGCAGAAACCTTACTGTAGTGTTACCTGTGAGGACCTCACACTCTTAGTCTTCTTGCTCCCCTTAACCACACTCTGTGTGGTCAGTTTATAAAATACTATACAAAAAAATCAACTCTTTTGATCATATTTCATGTTTTTCACCATAAGTTAACAGAAGATACAGGACAAGTTTTCTGTGAGCAAGTGAGTTTGGAAAACACTGGGTTTGGTGGACTTTGATTACTGCAAAACTTTTGAGAGTTAGTGTTCATGTTGATGCCTTTCCATGGGGATACGATAGTGAACCTATTTTACTGAGGAACCTATATTCAAGGAGTATTCATTGAAGTACATGGTCTAAAACTTCTTTCTTCCTTCTCTAGGGCAGTCAGGAGTGGTTAAGTAAGCACTGAGTGGCCCTGACACAAAGGTTTGCATTGGCCATGTTAATAGTCTATGTTCTCAGAAACTCCTCCTGAGACATTCAGAGCCAAATCATCTTCGTGCATTGTGAACATGGCTGCCATTTTTGCCAATCATTGTGTCAGAATCCCAACTTTGCATTTGTACTCTTTAGACCTATTTTTTCTTTTTAAGAAATTTTGAAATTATTTTGTAGAGTCATCTTCTTCTCTTCCCTTATTTGTATCTTAATGTAAATTTCAAAAATTTAAGTAATAACATTAGGTGAAATTCTACTTAAAATACCACTGACTATTCATTTTTTATATCTTTATTCATCATCAAATATTTACTGTGTGGTTTCTCTGTGCTAGCTAGCACTGTTTTAATAAAAACCAGCCAAACTAAAAGAGAGCAAAATTCCTGTCTTCCTCAAGCTTATAATCTGAAAGGAGAAAAAAACAGTAAATGAATAAGTATATAATACAATGTCAAGTCATAAAAATAATAATAATAAGCTGGATGTGGTGGTACATGCCTGTAATCCCAGTTACTCAGGAGGCTGAGGCAGGAGGATTGCAAGTTTGAGGCCAGCCTGTCTTAAAATAGAAAAAAAAAAAAAAAGGACTAAGGCTATGGCTCAGTAGTAAAACACTTATGGGTTCAATTCCTAGTACCAAGAAAGAAAGAAAGACTGTTAATATTTATTGAGGGTTTTACGATGAAACAGGTACTATTTTAACGTTTTACTTATATTATTTAATTTGATCTTCCTAATAATCTTTTGAAGTAGGAACTATTAGGTGTTACTCAGCTTTTCATTGCTGTGACCAAAGTACCTGAAAAGAATAACCTAGAGGAGGAACAGTTTATTTTGGCTCATGGTTTTAGAGGTCAATGGTGGATGGACTCCATTGCTATGGGCCCAAGGTGAGGCAGAACATCATGGCGGAAGAGTGAGGTGGAGGAGTGCTGTTGCATTCATGACAGACAAGAAACAGAGAGAAAGAAAAGGGGAAGGGTCCATATCTCCAATGTTTTTCACCATAAATTAATAGTGGTTATAGGAGAAATGTTTTGTGAGCAAGTCACAGGGAAGATGAACCCTTCCAGGGCACACTGTCAGTGACCTACCTCCTTCAGCCACACACAGTTAGCAGTCAGTCCATTCACACGAGGGTGGACTAATGATATTTCAGTTACCATAGTCTAATCATTTCACCTCTGACTATTCCTGCATTAACACTGGAGCTTTGGGGGGACATTTTATATCCAAATCATAACATATTATAATCCTCACTTTATAGATATGGGAACTGGGGCACAAAAGTTTGTATAACATACCCAAGTCACAAGGCTTTGACACCAAGATGTCTATCTCTGGAGCTTGCACTCATACCCCTATGCTAAGTGCTATGGAGGAAAAAATAAGAAAAAGACAAAGGGTAGGATAAGGAAAGGAAGGAGGTGGTAAATGATGGATGGGCTGGAATGTTATTTTAGATAGTAGATAGTTAAGAAAGGCCTCTCTGAAGAGGTGATCTTTATAGGAAAAAAAATCTTTATAGGATTTTTAAAAATCCAGTGTTACATCTTGCATTTAGTTGTCATGTCCTTTTAGATTCCTTTAATCTGAAAACATTCCTAGCCTTACTCCATCTTTTATGATATTTATATTTGATAGGTACAGACTGATGGAGAAAAAGTCTCGGTTTGGGTTTGATCTTAATTTTCAGAGCAGATGATGTCTGCCACATTTCTTCACTGTGAAGGTATCAGTTTCCCTTTGTAGCTAGTAAGTAATCTGGGAGAGATATTTTGAGATAATCCTATTTGAGAATATACTATTTCCTATTTGACTTTTACCCAATAATTTCACATTTGTTTTTAGTCAGCTTTTTTGCCACCATGGCTGAAAGACCTCACAAGAACAATTTTAGAGGAAAGAAAAGTTTATTTGGTGTTCACGGTTTCAGAGGTCTCTGTCAATAGATGGCCAACTTCATTACTCTGGTCCCAAAGTGAGACAGAACATTATGACAGAAGGGTGTGGAGGAGGATGGCAACTCAGGACAATGTTAAAAGGAAGGAAAGAGAGAGAGGGAAATTGCGGGGGGAGGGGGGTGTTGCCCCACTCACCAGGGACAAAATATAAATCCCCAAACCATGCACCCAGTGACCCTTTCTGCTACCTGCCTACAGTTATCACCAGGTTAATCCCCATCAGTGGATGAAGCCATTGATTAAGTTACAACTCTCATAATCTATTCACTTTGTCTCTGAATGTTCTTGTATTATCTCACACATGAGCTCCCAGATGACCTCTTTTGTTACATAGCAGCTGCAGTCAGACAGGAACTGAAGGATTGAAGAAATTCATAGATATACTGAGATAACCTAAGCCAGAATCTGGGGCAATAAAAGGATCAGAAGAAATGGTTTCTAAACGGAAACCTGTGGTATGGTTAGAATTAAGCCAGGAAAAGGAGTGCAGGCAGAGGGAAGGGGGTGTTTAAAAGCCCCACCCAATTCTGGAGAGCAGGATGAGCTGGGATCTGTGGTAGAAAGGTGGGGGTATGGTGTTGAACAAGTATGTCTAACTCAGGAAAGACTTCAGTATTGGTTTGGACTCCAATCTGAGTGCAAATTGAGGAGACAATTTTGCATTTTAGGAAGATGACTCTAGACATTTTGTAGAGAACTGGTATGAACAGGGCAGGAGTGGGCATGGGAAAGGCTACCTGCAGGGTGCTGCAAGAGAAAATTAGATAATGAAACTGAGCAATGGCAGAAGAACTACCTGATATTTAGTAAAGGAATTTAGTAGAAATTGATAATGGATTGAAAGGAAAATTGAAGAAGAAGGGACTTCTCATCCCTTCCAGACTTACTTACTTGAAGGTCTTAGCCACTCTGAGCCGGTAGAGCTGAGAGTGGGAAGGAAGCTCACTTTAGCTCATCTTGGCAATGGTTTTTGACCCTTGGGCCTTAACTCCCTCATTCAATAGGAATTTTTGATTACCTCCTCTCTGCTAAGAATTCAGGCTGTAATAGAGGACCAAGGCAGATAAAATTCCTGCTCTTTGGAGTTTGGATTGTAAGAGAGAACTCTTAGTCAAATGTAAAATACTCACTAGGGTAGGCTACACAGGATGGGGCATTAAAAAAAATTCCCCCCCACCAGGCACTTCTGATGGCAGTTAAGTGTGAGAAGCACTGCTTCTGCTTTGATGACCATAGCAGTGACCTCTGGGCTTAGCTACTGATTTGTATTTCTGTCAATTCACTGCTACAGTGGCAGTAACAATTAGAATTGCTGAGCCAGTGTAGAAAATATTCTGGAAGTTTGGAAGGTTCGATATCAGAAAGTCCTAGTGTTGGGCCCCAGGAGAGGCAGGGTCAGTGTCTGCAGTAGTTCACACTGTGTCTGCGGCCTGGCTCAATAGTGTTTGATAAAATAGCAATGAGTGATGAGTGTGGTGGGAATATGGAAGGTGTTTTTTATTGTTGTTCTTTAGGGTTTTCCATCTTTAAAACATTTAAAATAATAGGACAGATATATTTAGAATAAAGTAAGCTTCCCTAAAATACAAAATGAAACCCCAGTTCAAATATCCACCCTTAGGTGTATGTTAAGGTGCTATTTACAGGAGTACTGGGACACGTGGAGAGGCCTCATGCCGTGTGTTCCAGGATGACAAGGGCCATGCCACACTTTAGCACAAACCCTGCCATTACCTGTTCCTAAGATCAGGTATTGTTGAGTCCATATGGTACACCAGGCATGTGGTTGGCATAGGAGCTTGCCTTATTTTATAATAGTTCACTTAATTCAGGGGTTTTAAAGTGCTTTCACACAATTTTTGTGTCTCACTATACCTAGGATATAGAGATAGTTTTAATTTCACAGATGAGGAAATTGAGGTTTAAAGGGGTGAAGTTTTTCACCCAGCTTGAGATGTTTTAGATTTTGAAGGATTTTCTGTATCGTGTTTTGTGTATAATTCCAGTGCCCAGCATAATGCCTGGCACGTAGTAGGTGTTCAACAAATACTAGTGAATAAATTAATGCATGCAAAAATGAATGGTGAATGAGCGACAGATATGGGCTCAAACACACGGTGACTCCAAGTCTAGTAGCCGTAATACAGTTTTCATAGTGGGGGAGGAAAGAGGAGTCTCAGGGTCAGAACAGAGGGGAAATATCTGTAGAAAGAAGAGATCGTAAGGGAGGAGTTATAGAAAAAGGTCGGAGCTTTGGGGAGGAATTACGGATTTGGGGTGCAGAAAATGAGGCAGGATGCATACGGTCAAGTCCAGCTCACTTTACTAGCCACGTGCTCGTGAGATGTCAGTAAACCTTTCTGAGCCTTGATTTCTTCCTCTTTAAAGTGGGGCCAGTAATACTACTTACCTGCTGAGTGATGGTGTTGTGGGAATATGGATAGTAAGTTTTTTCCTATAGATATTTCCCCTCTATTCTGGTCCTGGGACTCCTCTTTTCTTCTCCCTGGAAATGTTATATTACTGCCATTGGATTTGGAGTCAACCTGTGTTTGAGCCCAGCTCTGTCACTCATTCACCATTCATTCTTTTTTTTTTTTTTTTGCGGGGGGGAGGGTACTGGGACTGAACTCGGGTACTCAACCACTGAGCCACATCCTCGGTCCTTTTTTGTATTTTATTTAGAGACAGGGTCTCACTGAGTTGCTTAATACCTTGCTTTTACTGAGGCTGGCTTTGAACTTGAGATCCTCCTGTCTCAACCACCTGAGCCGCTGGGATCACAGGTGTGTGCCACCACACCCAGCATCACCATTGATTCTTGCATGCATTGTTTATTCATTCATTCTTCCTCTAGTATTATTGAACATCTACTATATGCCAGGTGCTATGCTGGACACTGGGCACTTGTGTAGGTCAAAGGTACACATGCATATAACCACATTTAAAAATTCTAAAGAGCTGTATAAACTTAGTTGTATATATATTTTAGCATGGAAGGGTCCTTGGAGCTCACCATAGTTCAGCTTCTCATTTTACCTCTTCAAACATTGTAATGAAATGCAAGCAGTGTGAAAATGAAATTTACTTGCAAAAATTTAAAATAATTTTATTTGTTCTTGGGCACTATCCATGCTTTACTCACACAGCAAACAATGATTAATTCTGATCATTGAAGGTTAAGTAGCTCCCTAGTGTGTGAACTTTGCTCTAGTCCCTGATCTTGTCATTTGTTAGTTTTTACTATCGTGAGGAAATAAAATCTGCTCAGAAGTGGAAGGTGAGGGAGGGGTGGCACTGTGGGAAGAGCCAGAGCTCTTCTGTCTTAGAATCAAAGGTCTAGATTCAAGTCCCAGTTCTGCCACATTCTGGCTGTGTGACTTTGACAAAATCATTTAAGTACTCTGAACTGCAGTTTGTTCATCTGAAGAAAGAATGAATGAATATGTGCCTTAAAGTGTCATTGTGGAGATTAAGGAAATAATACATATTCCTGCGATTTCTTTACCTGTTAGGAAGGTTAATTGTGCTATCATTCAAGGCATTTTCACTGAAGTCATTGCAAACAGTATCTTGAGATGCAAGAGTTAGAGGTAATTCAAAAGAGCCTTCCCTTCTTTCTCCCCTTCTTTCTGTAGGTAGCTCTTCATTTGCCAGCAAACCCACTACACCAACTGGGTTGGGTGGAGGATTTCCACCTCTCAGCTCACCACAGAAAGCATCTCCCCAGCCCATGGGTGGAGGATGGCAGCAGGGAAGTAGCTATAGCTGGCAGCAGCCACAGTCCAAGCCACAGGCCAGCATGCCACACTCCTCTCCCCAGAACCGACCCAACTACAACGTGAGCTTCTCAGCTGCACCTGGAGGCCAGAGTGAGCGTGGGAAAGGATCAACTAATTTGGGTAAGGATGACGACATGGGGCCTAGATATTGAGTTGCCTGTGATGTTATACGGACTTAGTTTGTGTATCTGAAGGCAACAACAACAACAACAACAAAAACAATTCTAGTAATTTCAAAGACAATCTTGTAGAGACACCTCATGATTCCTACTCCTCAGGTGGTACCTGGAGCATCCTGGGTCTGTTATGCTCCCAAACATGTGTACCATTTTGTGATTGCTAGTTTATGTCTGTCCCTTTCTGAAGTGGAATCAGATGGATGGTAGGGACTGTGTCTTATTTGACACATTATCAATAGAACCTAGCATAGTATATGGCATAGGGTAAGCACTAAATGGATCTTGAACGGATGTGGGTAGAAGGGTGGATGGATCTTAAAGCTCTATTTCCTTTGGATGAGGGTATAGAAAAAAATGTTGGAGATCTTTTTAAAAACTGGGTTCAAGTTTTTTCTTGGGTCCCAATGAGAGGACTGCACATGTCTTGAACATTTGGTCTTCTTGGTTCTCTGTTTAGTGGATTCCTGAGATCTGGGGCATCTTTGCTGGTGCTACCACTAATGCTAGAGGATGCTCTGGATGGGATTCTTGATAATGAGTAAAAAATAACACACTTTACATAACAGAATGGTTAGGTTTGAGTTGTCAAAAGACCTATTTTGATACACCTGACATTTCAGTTGATTTGATCATACCCTGTGGTGAGGTTGAGGGCCTTTCTCTCTATGGAACATGGAAAAAGGGAATTCTTCTACTCTTCACAGCAGCAGTAACCAAAAAATTTATCAAGTACTTACTACAGGCTAGGTGCTATTCTTGGCTTTTTTTTTTTTTTTTTTTTGATGTATTATTTCATGTAATCTTCAAAACCAACTCCCTATTGTAGATGAAGGATTTATGATGCAGATCTATAAAGTGATTTCTCAAATTGATTCATCTTGTGAGAGAGCCAGTTTTTGAATCCCAAAAATCTGGCTCTAGAACCCCTACTCTTACCTGCCATGCTCCATGACTGTGAAACAGATGCCCTTTCAAAAGTAACATGATGGAAATACTTATGTCAGGAAGATGTGACATCATGTTTATTCTTTGGTTAGCAGGGGAATTCCTGGGACAATTCCATAAAGTCAAGTGGTTACCCTCCATTTTTATTTTGAGTATATGTTGAGTGAGTGTCTTGGAGCATCTTTGTTGTAGAAAACCCTGAGTATATGGCAGTAAGCAAGACAGATGAAACCCCCAGTCTTGGAGCACTTAGATTTTAAGGTGTGGACGTTCAAGTATGGGTCCACAATGGTTTCCAGTCTAGAAAATATAAATGGATAGCAACTAAGAAACTGACTTTTATTTATTGATGTTAGGTGGGTGAATTGCTGTGTTTTCGTCCTATTTTGTTTTAATTTAACAAACAGATAGTGTGGTACTATTCTAACCTCTGCAGCTATTAATGCATTTATTCTTACGACAGCCCTGAGGCAAGTAATATTTTTAACACATCCCCATTTTCCAGATGAGGAAATTTAGGCTTAGCAATGATAAATAACTTGCCTGAGTTCAAATTGCTAAGTAGCAGAGTTGGAATTCAAACCTGGGTGGTTTGACTTCAGTCTTTGCTCTTTGCCATCATGGTAAGCTGCTTTTTCAAGCAGGTTGCAGAATAGATTTTTTTCCACAATACCTTTATTCTATTTATTTTTTATTTTTATGTTGTGCCGAGGATCGAACCCAGGGACTCAGATGTGCTCTACTACTGAGCTACAGCCCCAGCCACAACCACACTGGTGGGGGAAAAGCATTACGATTAATGAGATCTAGCAGCTGGGTATGGTCAAGGAAGTGGCAGCACGCATAGATTTCAAATACCAAAACCCAAACTTTGTCCCATCACTGATACTAATTAATTATAACAGGGGAAAATCATGAGTATCTTCATCTGAAAAGAAGGTACAGTAGGAATGGAATTGAATTGAATTAAACAATCCAGATGCCAGTCCTAGTCTTGCTACATATATATGATTCTGAATAGATCTCTTAAGTTCTCTATACTTCATTTTCCTCATTTACAAAATGGCCATGAGATTTACATTACTGTTGTACACAAGCAATACCATTAACATGGACCAAATATGTTTGTGTCTTTCCACAATGTCAGAATTTATTGAATAACAATAAATTCACAATCTACACCACTTTCATTGTTTGCTATTGACCAAATATTGTGTCACCTGACAGTCATAGACTGGGCAATCTCAAGTTCTTTTATTCTATTCCAATCTTATTGAAATGATCACCTATGGGCTGGGGCTGTAGCTCAGTGGTAGAGCACATGTAAGTCCCTGGGCTCGATCCTCAGCACCACATAATTAATTGCTAATATCTATGACACTCAGATCATACATCTTACTCCACACAATGATATGTATAGGTTACAGAAAGACTAAGAAAGGCTCAAGGTGACCACAGGGTCTAGATTCAAGGTCTAGATTCAAGTCCCAGGAGACTGAATTGAGAGCAAAGGTAGAGAGCAGATACAAATGTGAAAGTCACTGCTGGTGGTCAGATAAGAGTACAAACCACTGTCGGAGTATAGAACTTCCTGTAGGCCAGGGCTTGGATGCATGGCAGTTTCAGAGTATCAGCTTGAAGCATCAGCTTGAGGTATCGGCTTGGAGTAGGCCCATTAGTTGTCATCATGTACAGGAGAAACTTCACTGAGCTGAAGCCCAGGAGCAGGGAATTGGAAGGTTTGTTGCTGTAGTGATATTCCTGGACAAGGCTCATGACAAGTAACCAGGTGATGGGGTCAGTGTACCATTGTGTCCAGTCTTGGGGTGCTCCTCCTTCTATGTTCTCATGTGAGTGGATTGCTTCATATAGTAGTCGGGCCTGTTTTTTTCTGATATGGATTTGATACACCTATGCATTTATGTGCTTCTGGTTAATTCAATATAAGTTCATAGGTGATCATTTTTATTAAGATTTTTTTTCCACAGTTCCTTTATTCTATTTATTTTTTTAATTTTTATGTGGTGCTGAGGATCGAACCCAGGGATTCTCATGTGCTCTACCACTGAGCTACAGCCCCAGCCCATAGGTGATCATTTTTATCAGCACAATTTAGTTATTAATTTGTGCCCTATTATTGTGCTAGGAAAATGGTGGCTTTTTGTGCAAACAAGGGGTAGAGTCATTCTACCCCAGCACTTGTTTCAAAATAGAGTGACTCATGGCACAGCGTGAAAACTATGTTCTATTCGTCATGGAGTAACTCGGAGCCTGCCCTCTACACTTACTCACAGGGAAAATGTGAGGGCTAAGGGGAATTTATACATGTAAAAGCACTTTGAAGACCCCAAGTCCTATGAGATCATGATGATATTCTGTTTAAGAATAAAACCTGTAATGATTTTCAAAACTTATATTGCAGAAGGGAAACAAAAAGCAGCTGATTTTGAGGACCTGCTGTCTAGTCAAGGTTTCAATGCCCACAAAGACAAAAAGGGACCTCGAACAATAGCTGAGATGAGAAAGGAGGAAATGGCTAAGGAAATGGATCCTGAGAAATTAAAGGTGAGTGAGTCCCTGTCAGTATGATTATCCTACACCACAAGGTCATGGGTGTGGAGCCATTAGCATGACTGCCTGATCATCTCCCAAATGCCCCACTTCCTAATACCATCACCTTGGGTATTAGGATTTCAACATATGAATTTGGGACAGGGCACAGACATTCTGCCACAGCACCACTGGAAGGCATCATGTTCTGGCAATTGCCCTATTTCAGTTGGTCCCTGAAGCTGTGATTTGAGTACCACCATGCTGCTTTTTTTTTTATTAGAGTTTATAGTTATGCATAGTAATTGAATTCATCCTGACAAACTTATATATACATGGAAATTGATTTCAGTTCAGGATCCTCCCCTTTTCCCTCCTGTCCTCTCTCTCTCCTCTTCCATTCTCCTTCCTCTATTAGACTTCCTATCACTTCTCTATTAATTTATATTTTATTGTTTCTTTATGTTGTCCTATCCTTCCCTTCCCCAGCCATGCCCTTTAATAGCTAAGTGGCTTTGGGGAGGGTTGCACATGCTGCTTAGTTTATTTAATAAAATAAAATTTACTTCATGATTTGGTAAATACAGATTTCCTTTGTTTACCTGTTCAAATGAGCAATGCCCTCTTTGACTTTAACCTACGTCATCAGAACCTGTTCTAGCGCCATCTTGACAGCCAATGGTATGATCAGAGATAGCAGTAGCACGCTTTATGATATGGTTTTGTTATTCAGATGGCATTCAGATTCTAAAGATGAATGGTGTAGAATTTGGTGGAAGAATGTATTGTTTGTATTTTCTCTTTCTACATTGAAAGTTTTTTTTTTTCTTTTAATTATATTGACTGAAGCCCTCACCATCTGTTTTCTGTTGATAGAAATGTTTAGACACCCAGGAATTACCACTCTTGTAGCATCAGACCTGGAAGTTTTGAGGTGGAGGAGGAGGAGGCTGACGGAATGTGTGCATCCTGGCCTCCCCAATAACTTTCTTTACTTTAAAGTCAGAGAAGTTCTACTTTTTGATTTTGAAGGTCTAGGTGAGAGATTCAATTTGAATTGGGAGAGAACGTTTCTTAATTTTTTTTTAAAGTTTGCAGATCAGTGATGCTGATGCCTTTATTTCATAAGTGAGGAAATAAGTACTGTAAATGAGGCTCTTGTGTGTGTGTGTGGACGGGTGGATGAGGATTAGCTTGGAGACAGCAGGGTGGTTATGCTGGTGGAAGGTGTGAAGTGGTGGAAGAGGTTGTAAATATTAACGTAATTGGAATGCTCATCACAGTTGGAGAGGCTGAATTGCTACATGATGACAGTATACATGCTGACAGTATAATAAATTGAAAGATCAGGGTCTAATCTTTCTCCCAAACCAGGGCTTTTATAGCAAATCAATCTTATGTTTTGAAAAAAATATTGCTATTCTCCATCATTTCCTGACATATCTGAATATTAGATGTATATGTATAGATCTTCTAATATTTTTTGAGAACAATGTATGATTTTTCATTTGCATTTGATTCTTATGTCAGGTAACATCACAGAGGTTTACTGTTCTTTCCAAAAAAGAATACTATTTCTTTATGCTCTGTCTCTGTGATCTTTATTCATTAAGCAAACTTTGATAGATTTTTATAAAATAAAGTTGTTTTTTAAAACCATGTTTGGTTATTCAATTGTTTAGGAAAGTAATCATCATTAACCATGACCGAACCACTCATCAACAGCAAACACTCTCAGTTAGGTGCGAACTGCAGTTGCATTATTATGATTCCTTCAACTTAATCGCCTCATTTGTACAACCATGAATGTTCATTGTCTGAATAAATGTCTAAATGAATTGATTCATTAATAAGCCTTTATGAGCTGTACTCTGTGTCAGGTATATTATTGGTTCCTGAGATACAGTAGTTAAGTAAGTAATAGTACATTTTCTCCAACAGTTCTGCCTAATGGCAGGGAAAGATGAACACACAGTTACAATAACGGGAAGCACAGATCATGAGAGGAGTGTGTTTAAAGTACCGTAGCCCATACAAGTTTGGCTTTTTAAAAAAGGGATATTTATTGAGTTTAGGAAACAAAACTGAAGTGGGTGTCACCTCATGGATACTTTCAGAGTATATAATTAACTGAAGGGGTGATGAGGAAAGAATTCAAACTCTCAGAAATGATCTTTGTGAAATTTCTGACAGGCCTTTTGAAGATTAGTAATGTCCCAGAAATTTGGGAGGCTGAGGCAGGAGGATCACAAATTTAAGTTCAGCCTAGGCAAAGTCCTGTCTTAAAATAATAAAAAGGGATGAAAATGCATTCCAGGTAGAAGAAACTTGGAACATGCCGGGTATCTCAAAGTATTTGATGCCACTGGAGCAGGACAGATGATGGTGAGAGTCCTGGTAGAAAACTTCTAGACTAGAAAACATCTGAATTTCTTAATCCTGTGTTTACAGATTCTGGAATGGATAGAAGGCAAAGAGAGAAATATCAGAGCCCTTCTTTCTACAATGCACACTGTGCTATGGGCTGGGGAGACCAAGTGGAAACCAGTGGGCATGGCAGACCTGGTGACACCGGAGCAGGTGAAGAAAGTGTACAGGAAAGCTGTGCTGGTGGTGCATCCAGATAAAGTGAGTGCAGCCTGCCCTGTTGTCTCACTTGTTGGAGCCTCATTTCATTATTTTATGAGCATGTATCAACACAAAACACTTTGACTTCGCTGGTTGATTAGTCCATTTATTCAATAAAACTGATAAGTCCATGGGTTAAAATGAGATGTTTAAATAGTTAATCTTCATGAAGTGGGCAAATCAAACTATATAATACGAATAATGCAAGAGGGATTTACAGAGATGTGCATTCACCAGTCACTTAGTGTTAGGGCTTGGAAGTAATGCTGACCTATAGTCGTATCACTGGGCTGAGAGCTAGACAAACAAAAACTTTTCTCCTTGGAAGATTTTAGCAGAATGGCTAGCTAGGATTGTATTGAAAACTCTTTAGAATGTAGTTGGCAGTTGGTGAGAATCGACAAGATTTTTAAAATGGAACTAAACCTCATCATTATTTTGATACTGTCCATTTAGGCTCTCATGTACATATGCACACAAGTGCTACAAACTATCAGAAACTTCAGCTACCTCACAGCCCAGTTGCAGTTCATATAATCCATAGAAACAGAGCAGCGTCATCTAGCTGTCAGATGAACTGTACCAGTCACCTGATATGAAGTTATCATGGAAAACCTCTCCTGGGAATATGTGCTTCAGTCCCCTGTATTTGATTTCTGCCTCTCGATACTTTTTCTGACTACTTTGAATAGAAGAATTTAATAAGAAACAACATTAATGTTTGAATTTCAGTCATTTGAAAGGGCAATAGCAGTTCCCCAAAACATTTTACATCCTTTCTGCCCTTCTTATGAGTCTCAAAGAATTTAACTTTATTAGAAATTGGAAAATAAGAGTTCAGAAATGCAATCAGTTGGAAACAGGCTGTCATTAAGCTTTAGGATTTGGTAGATACCTTTGGAAAATGGAGATGCATCTTTTGTTGCCGAATAAGCTCTCTGTAATCTTATGGATGAATTACTACTACCTTATGTGAATTTCCAGGGGAGGTCATAATAATGTAATCACATAGATTAAAATAAAAAAGGAAAGTGACTTAATAGAAAAGCATTTAAATTATGTAGAACCCATATTAGCAGTGAACCGAATATAAATATAGTTTTTATCTGTGATATCTAAATGTATGTTTTTGTTCTTTTTTATAGGCTACTGGGCAACCCTATGAACAATATGCAAAGATGATTTTCATGGAGTTAAATGATGCCTGGTCTGAATTTGAAAACCAAGGCCAAAAGCCCTTGTATTAATTTGTGAGCTTTTCTATCTTGGCTGCAGACCTTTGTTAATGCTTAGTGTGTATCACAATTCTGAGGTTTTCACAGATGAACCAAAAATACCAATAACATATTTCCAGTACTAAACTAACTGTCAAATTACTCATGAATTAGTTTCTCATGATATAAAGAATGTGGATGTTTGGTTTTTCAAAGTCCCTGCCATAAAAAGATCCAAAGCATGAAAGGAACTTTAAGTGAGATGATCTTGCAGGGATACAACATTCCAGCCTGCCCTTTGGGGCGCCTACTCAGCATTTTGCCTGGGGAATGGAAAATTGAGGCCACCAAAGGTAAAGGCATCACTCCATCTCACTGTCTGAGAGTAAAATTAATGAACAAAAGTGAAATAGAATTACTTGGATTTCTTGATAGTTTTAAAGAAAGTTTTAATTTCTCTTGGAAATACATAATTTGAGTGATGGCTTTACAAAACTTCCAGGAACAGAATCACCAAGTATTTTTTTAAAATGGAAATTTACTATGGCCTTCATCATAACAGTGTATGTGTCTTTTGGTTAAGGGCACTAACAGCTATAAATGATGTTAGATTGAGGGAAGGGATTATGCTATATTCCAGTGATTGCCACCCACTCTTCTTGGATAAGATACAATTTAGTGCAAATGTTGGCTAAAGAAAATAGGGATTGTGAAGCTATAGAAATCTTTATTTCTATCAGGATGTTGGGCTGTTCTCTTCCTGTCCCTTTAGAAAACTGTAGTTGATTAAAGAAAAAATTTTAATGCTATCACAACTCCAAACCTGGTTTGAAAGACCCTCCTAATTTTTCCATAAGACTTAATGTTTTTCTTTACTTAGCCAAGAAAACATTCTTAACTGAAAACAGATTGTAAAGCAGTTTGGCCCATTCACGATTTGTCAGGACCAATAGCTAGTATGGACTTGGTAAACACCAAGTTTGTGAGTGGTTGTCATAAGAACAGCCCTGATACTGTTGAGTAGAAGAGAACTGTCGTGGGAAGTAAGCTGCATGCCCCTCAACAGAGTCACGGAGCTTGGGATTTGCTTTGAGGAACCAGGTCCCCTCTTCTCCTCTGGTGAATCTGGATCCTTTGGATTATTGCAGTGGGGTTTATGGTTTTAAAAGTAGCTGTGGGTCCATAGGAGCAGCATTCACATAGGGACCTTTGGGAAAACAAAGCAAGAATGAAACTTTTCCAGACCTCAGACTGGCTGGATCTCAGCTCAGTGCTTTGGCAGCTTCTCATTTGGAGGAGTCATCTGTTTGCTCTTCTGTGATTTCAGTAGATTCTTGGTGAGCACGTGCACAAGGCAGATGGGCAAGAAGATTTTCATGCTGGTCTTTAAAAGTTTATGATCAATTGTTGTGAAAGCTTTCAAAAATTGTTTTTAAAAGACAATCATTGGGTTTTTTTGTTTGTTTGTTTGTTTCTGTCTTAAGTTTGTTGTGGCAAACTGTACTGGAAAAGCAGCATGTCAAAAATACTTTAGGTTCTACACAAATCTCTCTCTCTCTCTCTCTCTCTCTCTTTTTAGTTATAAAGGTTCATTATTTATTTTATTTCACTGACAATGTGAAACTTGCAGAAAATGTTCTCTTTTTAAATATGCAGCTGTAAACTGTTCGAGGTAACCATAACAAATTAGGTGTTATTTATTAACGTATTATACAATAATGTTTGATCCAGTATGTGCTTGTCTTATTTAAAATTGGAATGTGAGACATGTTGCTGTGACCTGTTTTTTCTTTTCTCATTCACATTTGTAGATATTGTGTGAACTACAGTATATAATGATAATAATTAAAAGGCTATTATGTGGATGTCACGTACATTTTGAAATGGTAGAACTATATATTAGCTTTGTATCATGTTTGGATAATTCATTAATGTTCACAGTTTAAAACATCATTAAACACTATGTAATTAGCAATGAGAAAGAATCTTATTTAAATTTGGGGGGCTCCCCCTCTGTTTTCCAGATACATTATAATTCTGGACCCCTATTTATCTCAAAACTCTTTAACAAATGCAGACCAACAGGTTTTTTGCATTCCTTTTAAATATCTGGTTGTGACAGAGCTTGTTGTTGATCAGGTTCACTGTTTCATTCATATTTATTGTAATATATTTTTTTGTTTTGTAAATATGTTATACACAACAAAATGTGATTGGTCTAAAATATTTGTAATGTATATTAAATGGCTCCAAAATATTTTTAGAAACCTAAGTTATTTTTGCACTCAATGACAAACTTGAATTATACTTTCTGATGTGATTCACTTCTGAAGTTCTGGGAAAAGAATATGAAAAGCATATAATACATTTGCACCAAAGTATAACTTGACAGGATTTCTTGACTTGTACTTTATTCTCCCCTTCCATCTCTCTCTCTCTCTCTCTCTCTCTCTCTCTCTCTCTCTCACACACACACACACACACACACACACACACACACACACTGATCATTCTACATGAATATTGTGTTTCAAAAAGAATCTGCATGGAAATCCTGGTCTCCTTTCTTAGAATATTAATGGATTTTAAAAAGTGCATTTCTGTGCTGATACTCCAAAATCAATCCTAGAAGTCTGAGGCTTTATCATAGAAAGTCTCAGATATTTTAATTCTTTAGGGACAGAAGTTGCAGATTCATGCTGAAAATCCAAAGTATATGACCCATCACTGTACTGTCTACATCTGGGAGATTGCTGAAGTTGGATCCCAGTGCCACTGAAGAAACATCATGGTGTAAGGAATGAGCACAAAAGTTGAATTCCTGAAACAGTTATCACAGCAACAGGTCAGTTCCTGCTGGAAATACTGATCAGGGAATTTAGGTCAAAAAGCAGATTTTGATTTTTCTAAAGATAAACCATAATGTTTGGACATAGTGGTATGTGTTGCTTTGAGACCAAATGATTGGGTCTGAATTCTTTTTTCCACTTACAGACTGTTATATTGGACAAGTTTCTTAACCTCTCTAAGTCTTTATTACTTGTAAAATAAAATCCTAAGGCCCCCGTGGTAGAAGAATTAGGGACTGTGTGTGTCACTTCTTATCAAGAGGGTACTATCATAACTACTGTTACTGTTACTGATAATAAGACAAAGTGTATGTATCACTTCTGGTCAGCCTTAGGGCTGGAATTCAAATGAGACCTCAGGTTGCGGGGAGTGTATAACATCAGTAGAAAAAGGCAAATGAAAGTAACTTACACCTTGACACTTATTCCTGTCTCCTTAGACTGAAAGAGACCTGTATACATAATGAATAGTTTTGCACTATATGTTCTATAAAGGGAATGGCTGTGTCACAAGAAGTGGTGGCTGATAATTAAGAAGGAAAACTATTTACTGATTTTAATTAGTGCTCTGTCATACTTGTGTTTAAATCATGCATTGACCTGATATCCCATCCCAGTGCAAATATGAAACCTGGCATCTATCTTCCATGTACTGCTTTGTGTGTGTTTCTTTCTCACTTAATTCTTAGGGAAAAAAGTTTTTTTTTTTTTTTTTTTTTTTTTTTAAGAGGCGGGTTGTGCAAATCCCATTTTAGGAAGTGGGAACACAGAAGTTTCTCTGAGTTGGGTTTGAGGTAAATGTTTTCTGCAGGATAGGGAGAGTTAATACTATATTTGGTATTCTTACTAATATTTGTTGTGTTGGGACTTAGAAACTGGTACCACAAAGTCAAGGCCTCAGAAGCAGCTGCAGAAGCAAACTTCCTCTGTTTACCTTTTCCGGTCCTCCTGTTTCTCATCAGGAATTCTTCCCAGAGACGGGCCATAGAAGCTAGAATTCCTCTTCCCTGAAGTGGTCATAGAAACCAGAACCCTTTTCCCCTCAAGCCAGCCATAAAACCTAAAAACATTACTGTTTCTTTCCCCACTTAAGAGTTGTCCATAAAGAAATTCTTTAACCTACTTTGTTTGATGGTGGGTCTCAAGATCCCTATTTCAGAAAGGGTCCTCCTGCATGCCCTAGAGGATCAAAGTGTACATAGAGAGGCCAAGACAAATCTGGGCAGGCCTTATTGGGCTTACCCTCAGTCTAGCACTATTGGGTCATACCCCTTTTGATCAACCATATTTCTACATGACTGTCCATGCTTTATTGAATATAAGCATAAAAATGAGTAGTTCATCTTGAGTCTTTGGGTCTTCAATCTAAAGATTCCTGTGTCTCATAAAACTAGATTAAATAAATTTGTTATGTTTTTCTTTTGTTAACCTATCTTTTGTTATGGGATGATGACCATGACCTTTTATGATGGGAAGTAGAGGGATCACACCTTTTTTTAACTTATAGTTAATTCAATCAATATTTTGTGTATATCATACGCAAGATACAAATAGGTAGGGGAATATCAAATCAAGAAATGGTTTGAATGCCCTGTTAAACAAAAGGTATTACTATTTTTCTTTTTAAAGAGAGAGAGAGAGAGAAGAAATAGAGAGAGAATTTTTTAATATTTATTTTTCAGTTTTCGGTGGACACAACACCTGTATTTTATTTTATGTGGTGCTGAGGATCGAACCCAGCGCCCTGCGCATGCCAGGGGAGCGCGTTACCACTTGAGCCACATCCCCAGCCCCTGTTACTATTATTTCTAATTACTACAATTCCTGCATTTGGTTCATAGATCCATTGTGGACTTTGATCTCATTTTTCCAGTTGGCTAGTTACCTTTGAGGCCTTAGCTTTTCTGTATGTAAAATGGAGATAAAATCTCGCTCATAAAGTGAGAGAATTGAGTGCAAGGAAAAAATATTAAGATTCATCCCAAGAATTATATGGTAGTCTTAAGCAGCATGACACAGGCCATAAATCTTATACATCTAAGTAACCTACTGATGGCAGATTGGAGATAGGAATTCAAGGTTTTACTTTCTGTTCTTGAGAAAATGTGGAATGGCTAAATGGAAGAACAGTTTTCTCAGTGCAACATCTGGCAAAGCAAAAGCAGATTTTTTTTAGGAGATAGGTAAAGTCCCTGGCAAGATGACTTTCTCTCTAGAGTGTTCAGTAAACTAAAAGGACAGCTGGTGTGGTCAGAGAGCTACTGGAGACAAACATTGTCTCAGAATGTTATGATTCCAGACATAACCCTGGAGCAAACATTTCAGTTTTTGCTTCTCGCTGTCTTTCATATTTTATTGGCAAGCCTTAGACACTCAAACCAAGCAGTGACTCTGAAGTCTTGTCAGTTTTCTCCAGAGTCATTTCTGTTCTGTGGGACTGGCCTCAGGCTAACATGGAAGTTTCCAGCAAACCTCTAGATGTGACTTTTCCCAGTCACAGTGGGTGGTTGAGAATGGTGGGGGTATGAGAAGATTTAATCCCATAGAAAATCCTCATTAATTTAAGATGGAAAAGGTTCTACTTCCTCTCTAGAATAAATTGGTGCTTTATAAAGGAGCTAAAAAAACCCTCATCAGGGTTTGGCTGATGAGCAGTTTCTCCTGGGAACTCTAACAGGTACAGTGGTGTCCCCTTATCCACAGGGGATATGTTCCAAGAGCCTCAGTGGATATTTGGAACTGCAGATAGTGCTCAACTCTATGTTTTTTTTCCTATACATACATGCTTATGATAAAGTTTAACTTCTAAAATAGTCATAGTAGATTAACAATATTAAAGTAGAAAAATTATAACAATGTAGTGTAATCTAGTTATATGAATGTAGTTTCTCCCAAAATGTTTTAATGTATTGTTATTTTTTTTCTTACTAAGTGAAGAACTTTTTTTTCCTTACTAAGTGAAGAACTTTTTTTTCCTTTTTCACTTTCCAACCTCCTCTAAATAGCTATGTGGCATAAATCCTACCACTTCTGACCTTCTCTCCCTAAAGATAAAATGAAGCATTTAGACCAGATGGTTTCTAAGGTCAAGACAAAACTCCGTGAATAAGGAATAAGAGATCTAAAGATTAGTCTTGGTTACCTTCAGACTTGAGAGCTCCTAGGTACAAAACTAATAGTTTTATTCATTTAAAGGTTCCTGAAAACTTCCGATATAAGAAAAAGCCTACATGATGTATAAGTGAACGAGGTGGGGGAGACAGCTCTTTAGTTTATTGAAAGTACTAACGTTGTATTAAGTAAAACGAGACTAAGCAAATGTCAAGATCTTAAGGAGAGGGCTGTCTCCTCCAGCCTTGTTCCTTGATGCTCCTGCCTCCAACCCCATACAGCCACGTAAATACAAACAGGCACACACACGAACACATACACACACACACGGGGGCTCAGAAAGCAAAATACGGTTTGCAAGTGGGTGTTTTATCCTCAACTGATCCTAACTTTTCCTCCTGTGTTCTCCTTTCTCCCCATTTTCTCTGTCTCCAATCTTAGGCAGGTTTCCTGGCAGCCAGGATCGCGGTGATAACCAGCTGAAGAGTTTAGGGGAGCCTCTCAGCCCGAAGTCTCAACCCACAGATTTGAGGGCGAAATTTGGGGAGGGTTCGAGGAATACCCCGAGGGCTCAGGACCTGAGAGGAGGGCCTTAACCCGGCGTAGTGATTACTCAGGAATAGGGTGGGTGTGCCGAGGAGGGGCTTTAGAGCAGGCAGAAGGACTTTGTGAGCTGGGGGCGGGGCTCTGAGACTGGGGGTGGGGCTCTGGACCAGCGGGGGCGGGGCTCTGCGTGGCCGGGAAGAGATCCCAGGCTGATAGGGGCGGGGTCGTGAGTGTCAGGCATCAGGACCAATAGAGGCGAGGCTCCGCGTGGCAGGGGCGGGGCCCTGTACTTCCAGGGGCAAAGCCCTGCATGGCCGTGGCGGGGGCGGGTTCGGGATCCGCGGCTCAGCCTCGGCCTGGGCCTGGCCTGGGCGGGGGCGGGAGCTGGGGCCCGGTGGTGGGAGGAAGCCGGAAGCAGCCGCGGCCCTAGTTCTGGAGACATGGCGGGCGTTAAAGGTACATTCGCGACCCCTGGCCCGCACGTCTTGAGGTGCTGTCGCCACCTCCGCTCTGGGCTCAGTCTGGAACTGCACCTTCAGCGCGCTGGCGGGGTATCGCTTCCCGCAGCCCCGCTGCCTTTCCCGCCTCTCCCGCTGGGGAAGCCTTCGCCCGCTCCCCTTGCAAGATGGGGTGCGGGCGGAGGGGCGTTTCGGGGAGCCTCTGAGCTCCTTCGTAAACCCCTGGCCTTCGCTCTCCTGGCGTCTCCCAGGCCCCGAGGTGGAGCCGCGCCTGGGAGCGGTGACTTCCTGGGAGACTCGGGCTAGCCCGGGAGCATCACTCCCAGTCTTCTCCTCAGTTCTTCGGAGCGCTTGCTGTCCCCTGCCGAGTTTTTAAACAAAGGTTCCACTTCCTGACACGTCCACCCTAACTAACGCTTCTCCTCCTGTTTTCCTTCCCTGTTGACTTTCTTACAGAGGAGGCTTTGTCTCCAGTGTGCTGGGCATTGGAAAACTTAATCCTCTTGTTCCTAATGATTTTTCCATATAGGCAGAGTTGACTGCAGGCCAGTGTCAATGGCAAACACCGAGAAATGCTGTATTTCTCTTAATCTTGGAACATAGATTAGGTGAAATATTAACACTACTTTCTTCAGTGTTTTCTGTATTCATCTGTAGACAGACAAGAAAGTAGTGTACATGCAGAATGTGTTTTTGCGTTGGGCAATTGATGGGGGAAAAAGTATTAAGAACACTTTTCTAATATGTGCGTCTTCGGAAGAATGAGGGGGAAGAAGTTATTGGAAGGCTTCCTGTTATTTGGGTAGGAAACCATTCCGTTTCAGATCTTTCTAATAGGAGCATAACTTGTTTCTGTGTTGGAGTTTCTGTTCTTGAAATTCATACACAAAGATCTTCCCTCTCCAGTTAATATCTGCTACATAAACATGTATGTAGTATATGTATATGTGCGAATGCATGTGTGTTCAGTATGAATTTCTGAGTGTGTGAGCTGTGAGTAGCAGACACATTTTATTATTTCTGGCTGACTTTTATACTCAATATCAGTTGAGTAAACATGGTTTACCTGGACGGTGTCTCGTGTTTAATATATCCATTTGAAGCCAGTGCAGAAAACAGATGTCAAATATCTCAGTATTACAGTTTTTACTACCAAATAGTAACATTTTTGTGTATATGTTGGCTGTATTAAAAAGGGAAATAGAATATGAAACTGAAAAGGACCAAGAGAAGAAAGTATTTTGCAGATAAGTGAATTCAACTTTTATTAAGGAACTGCTGTATATTGGAGACTTGGGGTGAAAAAATAAATGAGATGTTATTGTTGAGTGATGGCTGGAAATAATTATATTACTATGTAAGTGTCTGCAGACTGCATAGATGCAGTGGGAGCACATAGATGTTGTAGTGGTTTGAATCATGCCTCCCAGAAAGATATGTTCAAGTTCAAACTCCCTAGAGTCTGTGAATATGACCTTATTTGGAAATAGAATTTTTGCAGATGTAATCAAGTTATTACTGATTTAGGATAACTCTAGTGCAATGATTGACATCCTAAGAAGGTAAAAATTTGGAACTGGAGGGAGAATATCATATGAATACAGGAGAGAAAATGAAGTGATGTATTTGTAAGCCAAAGAACACTAAAGATTGAGGACAACATTAGATATTTAGGAAAAGGTATAAAAGGACTGTCTCTTGAAGCCTTGAGAGGGAATACAGCCTGTCAACACTTTGATTTCAGAAGTCTATTCCCCAGAAATGTGAGAAAATAAATTTCTGTTCTGAGTTACCCAGTGTGTGGTTCTTTGTAATGGCAATCCTAGGAAACTAATATAGATAGGATTGCTTAACCCCATTCCAGGGAGGAGGAGGGCTGTTTTTACAGAATAGCAGTGCTTCAAACATAAACTAAAAGGGTCCATAAGGCTTCATCTGCTGAGGGATAGGGCTCAAGTGGAATATATTCCAGTGGAGAGAACAATGTGATGTGGGACAGGGGGCAAGAAAGAACTTGCCTTGTTTTTTTAAGGAGAGTGAGCAGGGTTGAAACTGGCAAAGAAGTTGGGGTACGTGGTGGAACAACTTGTAGGCTGTGGAAGTAATTACAAATTGGTGACACCAGCTGTGTGTATATTTGAAAGGTCTTTGCTGTGTCAGGAGGATGGATTGGAAGAGTTACGGTTGGCAGCTGGCAAGAGATGATAAGAATTTGCATTTGGACAGTAAGAGAGAGTTCAAGAGAAGAGGGTAGATTGAGTGAAGTCAGAAGTACTGAGCCACCCTGACTTACTGATTTACTTGCAAGGTAGATTGCAGCTCTGGTCGGTCCTCAGATAGAACCTCCAAAGGGAAGAAGAAGTGCAAGGTTGGGAGGAGTGAGTGGGTTTGGACTACTATAACAGATAGAACACAGACTAGGTGGCTTAAGGTCATTTTTTCTGACAGTTCTGAAGACTGGGAAGTCCAAGATCAAGGTGCAGGCAGATCTGCTGTCTGGTGAGGGCCTGTTTCCTGCTTTGCTGATGGCTGTTTAAGAATCTTCACATGGTGGGGCGGGGTGTGGGGGGGTGAAGATAAGAACCCTTTATGGAGACTCCACACTCATGACCTCCTCTAAACCTAATTACCTCCCAAAGACTCCCATTTCTAGTACTGTCTCATCAGGAGTTAAGACTTAAATATATGAATTTAGCCGGTATACAAACATGCAGTTCATAATAATAGTCATTTGCTAGTCAAAAGTAACAATAAAATAAGTAAATTGCTACATTGCTTAAAATTTGGGAATTTTTTTCTCTTAAGTGGAAATTTTATTGAGATGTATTCACATACTATAAAATCAGTCTTGTTAGTGTAAAATTCCATGGCTTTTGGTGTATTTACAAGGTTATGTGATCATCACTATCATTTAATTCTGTAACATTTTATAACCTCCCCCGAAAACCTCTGTATCCATAAGTAGTCACTTCTCAGTCCCTCTGGTTCCTCTACCTCCTGGGAACCACTGATATGGAACTTTTAACTCTTGGCTTTATATTTCACAGCTCTTGTGGCATTATCCTTCACTGGGGCTATTGGGCTGACTTTTCTTATGCTGGGATGTGCCTTGGAGGATTATGGGTAAGTAACCATTTCAAAAAGAACTATTTTTTTTGTGTGTCTTTGTTACTATTAGTATGGGAATTAGAGAACTTGATCAATTTAGCACCAATCTCTAATTCTTGAGTTAGTGAAGCCAAAATTATGGATTCAGTCCCTGATTCAGGGTCAGGTGTATTGGTGCAGAGAAGAGTTCTTTTTAAAGTAAATGTATTCATTTAATAAACTGTTGAACTCCTACCTGGACCAGCTGGGGATATGAGAATGAGTTTGGTTAAAGAGCATTTGGTTATAGTTGTGAGAGACTGGCAAACTGTTCAGTCAATAAGACAGCAGCTGTAGTGGAGATGTGTGCAAAGTACAGTGGGAACTTCGAGAAAGTACATCTCAGCCAGGCACAGTGACATATACTGTAATTCCAGCAACTTGGTGGCTGGGGAGACTGAGGCAGGAGGATTGCAAGTTTGAGACCAGCCTCAGCAACTTAGCAAGAACCTCAGAAGAGACCCTATCTCAAAATAAATACCTAAGAAGGACGGGAATGGAGCTCAGTGGGAAAGTACCCCTGGGTTCAATCCCTAGTACCAAAAAAAGAAAAAAAATAGAGGGAGAGAGAGGTTGAGGGAGTAATCTCAGTTTCCTGGGGACAGTCATGGAGAGCTGCAAAGCAGGGGTATTTAAGGTAAGAGTTGGTGCATAAATAAGAGTTTCTCCAGCTGATGAAACAATAGAGGGCATTCCAGGGAGAAGGAACAGTCAACAACTTTCTTTATTCAACAGCTCACAAAGGGAGGTTTGGTAAAGTATGTGATCAGCCTCTGCATAGCATCTGGAGGAGGTTAGGTTTTGTAGTGCAGGCAGGGAGCTGGGAAAATATCTTGAGAATGGGTGTGGCAGGAGGGCATTTTGTTAACAAGTCATTCTGGCCAAAATGTGAGACTAGATAGGAAAGTGCTGAGACTACAGTCAGGTAGAATATTCTAAGGGGCCATTATCATGAACCAAACAAAACTGAGGCCTGTGGCAGTGGGATAGAGAGAAAAGGAGAGTGGTATTGGCAGTAGAAATAATAGGTATTATTAATTGATGTCAAGACCGAACTAGGCAGAGTTCCTGGATGTCTTAGCTGATTGGCTTGAACAAATTGACAGAAGATGGTGTGACTAAGACCAACTGGAGTTAACGACATTGATAAAAGTTCAAATTTATCCTGGATGAATTAAAAAGAACTATCACAGGAATTCCTAAATATAATCTAAGCAATAATTTATATTTGCTCAGAACTTTCCTAGCTGCTGCTTTATTCTAGTCTTAGGGATAAAAGTTATCCTCATAGCTAGGAAACCAAAATCTGGAGTAGTTAAAGATTTTCCCAAATTATACAGCAATAAATAAGTGGCAGAGATGGGAGTGAAATCCGTGTTCTGATTCTCTTGACCAAAAGTTTTTCCATTCCTTTACTAGTTCTAAATTCAGGTGTTTTAATTCTCTGTGATACACTCACTTTGTCTCTGTAAGGTTAAAAAAAAATCCATTACTATTACAAAGAAATTAATTTTATGTCTTCACAATGGTGACTCATGATGATACCACATGTCAGCAAACTGGCCCACAGGCCAAATATAACCTGCTGCCTATTTTTTATAAGTAGTTTTATTGGAACACAGCCAACCTCATGTGTTTGGCTATTTTGGGTTGTTTTGTACTACAATGAGAGTTGAGTAGTTGAGACAGAGACTTTATTGCTTGCAAAGCCCAAATATTTACCATTTGGATCTTTACAGAAATATTTGTAAGCCCTTGGCCTACACATTTACTGACTAGTACTAAGTTTAATGTTTAAATTTTGTATATAAACAAGTTTTCTTCTACATAAACAGTTCTCTTAGTTAGACATTGTTTTCAATTACTATAATTGGAAACAGTCTTTCAGATTATTTTTGAAAAAACTGTCACTGTATTCCAGGAGAATTAAGAGCTCTTAGCTGTGGGCATATCAGGTGACAGCTGGGTCTGTTCTAGGCTCTTCCTCTATCTCTTTTCCTTGTTGGTAAAATGAGGACTTTGATCTAGAGATTCTCTTATTAGTGTTCCTTGCTGCAATATTGTTTGGTTATTCTTGAAACATACTATAATCTATTTTAAAATTGGAACTCTATACTCAGTGGTTTCAGCCTGAATTTTTTTGATGAAGGACCCTTTCCCTGCTCTTTGGTACCATCCTGCCTCCTCAATGACTGTGGCTGAAAGGGGAGACTTTTAATATCATGGCTTCACCCTTGCTCAGAGGTGCTGGCTCTCTGGGTGGGTCAGTGTTATCACAGTTTTGTGGTAATGTGGTAATGTGTAATATTATGGTGTGTATTTATAAAAATGAGTAAAGACTTTTCCCTTAAGGAATGAAGCATAAGAAATGTCTGATGAAGAAAAGATTATTTTTATTGTTTTTTTAAGTTATACATGAATAGATTATTTTTGAAGTATGCGTAGAGAAAATACAATTGAAAATCAGATAATAAAAATTTTTAATAAATGCAAAGTAGTGAAATTTGGAAAGAAAATAGTTTTATTATTTTGCATTATAGTATTATTGTGATCTACCATAATAATCATTGGAGTACATCTAATGTTTTTACTAGGGAACTAATGTGTTTTCATACCTTCCGTACTTAAAATTTATTTATTTTTTTCTTTCATTCAACAAGTATAAATGGAGGACCTCATTGTAGGCCCTGGAGATAAGTAATGATTGACCCAAACAAATCTAATCTCTGTTCTCATAATCAAGAAAATATCAGATGGGAATAGGAGCGTTGCAGAAAATTAGAAGTGGGTGGTATACTCAAGGTTGACCTCAAGTACTTAAGAATGAGTGGCCAGTGAAGCCACTTTTAGAAAGGGACATTTCAATTATGATTGCTATGAAGAGGAAAGAGGATTGCAAGCAAAGGGCACAGCTGATACAAAGGCCCTAAGGCCAATATGAAGGCTTCTGAAGAGAATTCTCTTCATTCTCTTAAGAGGCTGAGAGAATGAAGAGAACATGGTGCAAAATGAATGGAAGAGAATGAAGTTAAGAGAATATGGTGCAAAATGAATGGAAGAAGTAGGTGGTACCAGATCATGAAAGTTTTTGTGGAGCAGGGCAGGGAATTTGGGTTTTATTCTAAATCATTGAAAGCCTTCAAGTATACATGCACACAAAAGATCTTCATTAAATTAGCAAGTACAAGCCACTGTACTAGATTCTTTAGGGAAAGAGAGATGACTGTTAAGATTTATGCTCTTACAGAAATTGCAGCTCAGTTATACAGAAAACAGTGTTTCTTGATTATACATTGTGTAGACATTTCTTAACACAAACTATATACATATTAATGAACCAATAATAGTTTAATCATCACTAACCTATTCCTGGTAGAAATCATCCTATATTATAGTATTCACAATTGATTCATTAATTTTTTGAACTTGACATTTAGAATAATTATTTTGAGGCAATAGTATGTCTTTAACTGTGACTTTTCTTTTTGGGTCTCCTCTGGGTCCAACTGACAGTGTATACTGGCCCTTGTTCGTCCTGATTTTCCACGCCATCTCCCCTATTCCCCATTTCATCGCCAAAAGAGTCACATATGACTCTGACGCAACCAGTAGTGCCTGTCGGGAACTGGCGTATTTCTTCACTACTGGGATTGTTGTTTCTGCCTTTGGATTTCCTGTTATTCTTGCACGTGTGGCTGTGGTAAGTTTTGTCTTCTATTGTTTTGTTTGTGTTGAGAATTTATTTGAAAAGCCTGTGTTAGGGACCTCAGTTTCATTTTTGTTGCTTAGACTTTTTTCTCAAGACCAGATAAATTTTTTACTTTCTCTACTTTAGATCTATTTTTCAGTATCTTGACCATGTTTTCAGATTGCTTTCTTTGTTTCCCCTACAACTTTTAGCCAGATCATGATTTCTTGTTTTTTCTACTTTAAGCTTTCTCTATTATTGTTCTTAAATCCCTGCCTGTTGAGTCATTAGGCAGTACACAGAGACTATACTAGCAATACTAATCTAAATGAAAATCATATCAAATTACTTTGCAAATGAGGTCATGGACTTCATTCTCAATACAATAGGCGTACATTGAGGGGTATCTATGTAGCTACTAGAAGATACAGTGAATAAAATGACACCTTCACATCTGACATAGAAATTTTCTTTTTATCTCCAAAGCACACATTATTGGTATACTTTGTTGGATTCATTGTTGTTCATTGTGTTTTCTACTCTTTGCTTTTATTCTGCTCAACTCTATTTAAATTTCATGAAACTCTTATTAGGGGCTTTGAATGTTAGGTATGTGCAAATCTTGTCTATTTGTTAAATATTAAATATCTTTGGAATATCTGCCGTTTGTAAAACATCAGGAATAAGAGTAGATACTAGTTTCCTTAATATCTACTGTCTCTGTTCCCAAAGAATACAGACACTGTCCTGATAGGTAAGTATACTATAGATGTACTAAATAGAGTAATTGAAACCTGATCAGAATGTCAGAGGAGCACCAAGAAGAGAGAAATTATAACTGACCTTTGACAGGGCCTGTAAAGATAAATAGGGTTTGACAGGGCCTGTAAAGATAAATAGGGTTTTAATTAAAGTAAAGAAGACTTTTATATGGAATGGCACCCTATTGTGAAAATGCATGTTATGGAATAGAGAACAGTCCAATATAATGGAACAAAAAAAGAGTAGTTGAGATTAAAGTTAGTAATGTTGGTGAAGCCCGATTAGCAAGGATCTTGAACTCCTTGCTAGTTTCAACTTTAATAAGATGATGGAAAAGAATTGAATATTTTCAATGCAAGATTGTCATGGCCTTGTTATTCTTGTGCCTTGGACTAACTCTTCCTTAGTTTCACTATAAATATTTATTTTTTTCCTTTTAATACTGCCATCATGTTTTGGGAAGAAACTTTCATTGATGTTTCCGTTGGTTAAATTAAAGCACAAAATGCCCACTAGAGGGTACTCTCATCCCCAGTTGTGCTTCTGTAAAACCTTCTGCCAAGTTGGAAAGCTGTTTTCATTTGAATGCAGATTATTATTAAAGTTTTTACTTGCCTAGAAAAAAGCAAACAGATCCATAATGCTCCAATTCCTGTTTTCCATGAAAGAGGTTGGTGCATGCAGAATTTTCAGTACCAATATTATAACTGAACCATTTATAATCATACTACAAGTATTTTGCTTAAGGCAGTCATTGTCATCTGAAAATAAGCAGAGAAATATATCTAATAGGGAAAATGTTAAGGATGATACTAGACTTAATTAACAAGTATCACAGAAGCAATTAGACTAATTACTGAATAGTTCACTGTCCTCTGCCTGTTACATTACTAAGCCTTTTAGCAGCTTTCTGTAATATTCCATTGGATGTTTCTAATATAGATAATAGTAGAGATTTGCAAAAAGTAAGGATTTAATTCTTTTTTTTTCTTTCTTGTATTTCAGATCAAATGGGGAGCTTGTGGCCTTGTGCTGGCAGGCAATGCTGTCATTTTTCTTACAATTCAAGGTTTTTTCCTGGTATTTGGAAGAGGAGATGATTTTAACTGGGAGCAATGGTAGCACTTTATTTTGATAGAGAACATTGTATTCCTTAAGATTTGTACTGTATGTATATGTGTGTGCATGTGGTGTTTTACTATGGGATTTAATATGCTGGTTTTTTTATACCTTTATATCATGATCACTTTAAGGAAGACTTCCTAAGTAAAAGATGAGTTTAATTCCTAGATAATGGACCTCAGCTTTTACTGAAGTTGAAATATGTTATTTGTTTGGCTGTTCACATAGTTATGTTCTCAGAAAACATATTAACACAGTCTTTTAGACAGCTGCTCATTTATACAGGCCATCTAAACCTTTTGTGTGGAGGTGTGCTTAGATAGGTGAAGACACTGAAGCAGGTCTTTTATAGCTCAGAAACACTTGGCTCCCACTGTGTTGTAGACCCTTGCTTCTTAGAATGTGGTCCATAGACCAAGAACACCAGCATCTCCTAGCTTATTGGAAATATAAAATCTGAAGCTCTCCTGCCCACCACCCAGACCCAGTGCATTTTGATGAGATCCCAAGTGAATCATATTCACATTAGAGTTTGAGGAACTTTGTTATAAACATCACACCTAGCTTCCTTGTCTTCCCCTTGGATCGATCACTTACCCTCTCTGGGAGTCCTGCTCATTTGTGGGAAAAAATTCCCTTATGTTGAGGAGGAGTTCAGATTCTCTTTGGTGTTTGTGAACTGTTCCAAACTGTAATATATGGGCAATTTCCCAAATTTGTGGAAAGTGTTTTCAGTGGGAAGCAAAGTCCTCACATCATCTGAAAGGCAGTGCCTTTTTCACAGTGCTAGGGCACAAAATAACCCAAGCCCCATTGGTATGCAGGAGAGGAAGGCTGGGCTGGAACCAGCCCCTGCTTTAGTTATGAGGAGAGAAGAATAGATAGGCATCGCTTTTAAGTTTCTCTTATTAGTCTTGCACTTCTTCCCAGCCCCTTCCTAATGCTACCTTATCCCAACTCCTCAGCAGTTCTGATTTGCCATTTCTTCTTGATGGCTCTGCCCTTCTCCTTTCTAAAGAAATATTGGAGCCAAGTGAGCAAGCCAAAAGCAAACTGCTGGAGTTTATTTACATGTTGATGTACTTAATGGTGCTTCATTCAAAACTTTACTCCACCTTTAAATAAATCATTGGAAATAAATGTCATATTGTATCTTATGATCATAGTTTTTCTAACTCATCTTTTTGTCCAAGACCCATTGAGAAAAGAAAATATAAGAAATAGAACCATTTGATAAGAAGAAAGCCAGTGGTTTTTAAACATTAATGTGGTTGTTGATATATGTACAAAGCACTTCCACCTTGAGGTTTGTGATGTTAGTAACCAGCACACCCTTTGTGTGTTGGTGTGATATTGGAACCAGAAGAGAAAAGTAATATCTAAAAGAATAATGTGCAATGTTGGTTTTTGGCCTTGTATGTGATTTTATGTTTTTTAATATTCTGTGTACATATAAAATTGTTGAAGTTATTTGCAATATTTACATTGGGAAAATTACTTAGATACTTTGTAATTTTAACTGGCATTTTTAATCATGACACTTGCACTTATTGTATTATAATAAATTTCACTTTTAACACAAGAAAAGTTTAATGTTAAAACTTTATTCTGATGTTGTCTTGCTTAAAAGATAACAAAAAGTGAGAATTTCTTAATGCTTTGAAATTAAGTTTCAAGCAATAATCTGTCCTGCCTTAGAATAATAGCAATCTCTTTTGAGATACCATTTTGAATGTCTAGTTGGCTTGTAATAGTTTTTCTTTCCCTCAGATGGCAATAGTGACCAATTTATAGTACCTTTTGCAAAAGTATTCTTGTTGCTTATACATATTTCATATAACCAAGATAGCCTTAATATGTAGGCTTAAAGCATTACTTCTTGATTGTATTTCTAGATTGATACAAACTATTTGCAAAAAGAGCATTTGAAGTGATAGATTATTAGATTTGCTGTGTGTCTCAATAGAGAAATATCAGTGCCCAACTATCATTTAAATAATATATGTCGGTTGGAAGTATACCGTCTATGAATGTATAATACAAAAGTCTTGTCCTCATGACACAAATTTTGGATATGTTTTTTTCCTTATAAAATGTTCCATTTTTCTATATATTGTAGAATATATTTGGAAATTCAGAGCATATGGATTATATTCAAATTGAGAATGCATTTTAAAAATTGCCAACAAGTTAGTACTCTTATGCAGCAACTGCCTAGTTCCAATTACAGTCCAAACAACTGTCTTAGAGGTAGGCTTTGTGTGTGTGTGTGTGTGTGTGTGTGTGTGTGTGTGTGGAGGGTGTACTCGGAATTTAACCTGGGGCACTTTTCCTGGTTTTGATCTTGTGATCCTCCTGCCTCAGCCTCCTGAGTTGCTGGGATTACAGTGTGTGCCATGGCACCTGGCTTACAGGTAGACTGAAATACTTTCCCACAGCAGTGTTACTATGAATTAGTGACTGAGTTCCCAGGCCAAACTTCTTAAGTCAGACTAAACCTTAATATAGCTGACCTGTGATACTGAAGCCACTTGTCTGGTTTTTGGATCTTAGAAATAGGGTAGTGTGAACTGTTTGGGAAAAGAATAGTGGAAGTTTCCCTCCCTTTTCTTAAGTACAAGGTCTTTCTGATATTACTTTTTGCACTGCCTCCTACCTCCTTTTCTCCTTATGGTCCAGGTATACTTCTGTGAGTTTTGCTCACCTGTTCTCCCAACCATCAACCTTCCTCCTAGCCTGCTGCACCCCACTCTCCAGGTTCTTCCTATTTCAACTTCAGTCACCTTCCCCCTCTTTTTTTTTTCTTGCCATCTGTTGTTTGATGTTTTTTAATTTTTTATTTGTTTTAATTAGTTATACATGACAGTAGAATGCACTTATATACTTTCATATATCATACATAGATGGGATATAATTTCGCATTTTTCTGATTATACATATTATAGAATCACATTGGACCTACAGTCACATACATACATAAAGTAATAATGTCTGTTTCATTCTGCTCTTTCTTATCCCCAGATCCCCTGCCTTCCCCTCCTATCACTTTTCTCTACCTAATCTAAGGTAACACTGTTCTTTTTTTTTTTTTTGCATTACAATTCTTAACACATATATACCACAATTTTTGTATCTGTATATAAAGTATGTCGACACCCAATTCAAGTCTTCATACATGTACTTTGTATAATGATGTCCATCACATTCTACCATCCTTGCTAATCCCCTGCCCCCTCCCTTTCCCTCCCATCCCCATGTAGAATTCATCTATTCCTCCCATGCTCTCCCTCACCTTCCCCATCTTGTTAATCAGTTTTCTAAGTATGGCAAATATCATGTTCTGCACTGAAAAAATGAATGACATATGATTTTCCTCCCCACATCTGAAACTCTGGATACCTGCAATAACCCTAGTGTTGCAGCTGGATTTTTTATAAGAGAATGCCTCCTAACCCACCAACACTCATTCACAAAGAATGGCTACATTTCCAAGTAAAATGAAAAATATTCCAGCAAATTAGAGAAGGATAGCAGTACTTTGGGACGGGGCAACTCTGTCATAGTTCATCCCCCTTTGGGGCACATTCTCAGCTGGTGCTGTTTTCCATAGTTGTTTCTTTTGCTTTGCTAAGGGGCTGTTTTAGTCAGCTTTTTCATTGCTGTGACCAAAAAACCTGACAAGAACAATTAGAAGAGTAAAAGTTTATTTAGGGTTACAGTTTCAGAGGTCTCAGTCCATAGAAGGCTGGCTCTATTCCTCCAGGCTCCGGATGAGACTGAACATCATGGGAAGAGTGGCAGAAGAAAGCAGCTCATATGATGATCAGGAAGCAGAGAGAGAGACTCCACTCACCAGGTGCAAAACATAAATCCCAAAGACATGCCCCCAATGACCCACCTCCTCCAGCCACACCCCACCTGCCATTAGTTACCATTCAATTAATACCATTGTGGATTAATTCACTGATTGGGTTAAGGTTCTTATAACCCAATCATTTCTCCTTGCATATTCTTGCATTGTCTCACACGTGAGCTTTTGGGGAACACCTTATATCCAAACCATAATAGGAACCCACTTATTTTTCTAACATTTTCTGAAGTTCTTTACCTATGAGGTAACTTTTTGGTGAAGACTTTTCTAGACACTGATATGCTTCCTTATGTTAATAACATTCCTGTGCTCTCAGGCAAATGCTCAGATGATGTCACAAAAACATGCTCTTTTAAAGTCTGCAAAATTCAAATTTTGTATGCTAATAGAACCAAAGTATTATGAATGCTTTAGCATTTTCCAAGCATAGTAATTAGCTCATAACTGGGAAGCATTTCTGCAGATGAATGCAAGCTGTGCATTTTAATTCTTTTTTGTTTTGTTTTGCCTCATAAAGTTCTTATTTGCAAGAAATCTCAGTGTGTAAATAGCTCCTGATTTATAACCTTTCAAATAGCCATCCCAATGGGGTGGAACAGTTATACATAACCACATACTTATGAAAGATCCCTGAGACTGCTTTAGGATGCATTAACATGTGTGATGAGAATGATTATTTTTATAATAAAACTTGTCATTTATTCTTCAACAAAGGCATTTATATAAATTATTAAATGGAAGAGTTTATATCTTACTTTGAGATGCATTATATTTGGGAAGGAGACCAGTAGATTTATTTTCCCAGTACTTTTGTCTGGATAACCATTATGCGAATTTGACTGGTTTTGATCCCCTATGTTGTTGAGGAAAAGTGGTTCAGGAATGTCATGCTGACTGGAAGGAATGTACGCTCTAATTACAATTTTACTGTGGCTGTCACTCCCCAGGGTAGAGGTAGGAGTTTGGGGGCAACAGTTCATTAAGACTGTGCTGTGTTGGAAATGCAACAAAATTTAACACTTAAGAAAGAAGAAGTAATGTACATACTCTGAAGAGTTCTTTGGGGCACTACAGAAAAGAATGCATTAGTATAAAATACTACTTAATGAATAATGTGTCCCCCTTATGCATTTAGGGAAGATTTGATCCAATGTTTTGCAAGTTGACTTAAGCAACTAGGTTATAAACAAATTGCATTAGAGAAAAAAAATTTAATTAGTTATTTCTTTGTGTTGCTCAGCTAAGTGTGCAGTTAAATTACTAGATACAGAAATTTGATAGCAGCGTAACTATAAAATATCCATAAGAAAAAATGGTTCCCAGGGAAAATCGATGTAACCATTTTAAAACAATCCATCTTCAGTACTAGGTATAGGCCAAGTGGTCCTAATGTCAAGATTGCTCACTTGAAGAACAGCACACGTGGAGACTTCACACATTATCTCTCAATGCTAATTATATCTTTATCAAAATAAGATATGCCTATTTCACATACTTTCACAAATTATTAGATATTAAATTAAGCTGGTACATTCATTGTTTTCTTCTCAGAGTAATAAAAAATTAGTTCAACTGGAGCTGGATAATCATTTTAATAATTTAAGGAATAAGTGTACCTGTGCTGCTGTCTCAATACTTTCATTTCCTCTGTAGTTGAGAAAATTTGTGTCATCATATTCTGTAAAGTTTCATGATTCTTAGAGCCTTCCTCCCCAAACTGTATGCTCATTCCCCTGACAAATCCAGAATTCTTTAGCACTTTCAACATCAACACTGTAGCCATACCATTTGTGGTTCTGTGACAATGCTTTTGCTAAAATCTATTTACCACTGATGGAAATGAGTTTTAAACACAGGCTTTAATATGATGCTTGATTTACTTAAGATACCACATTAGTATTTGTGGTGAGCCTCACAGTGGTACCTACGGTAGCATACCACACCTGGAGTCCCAGTGGTTTTGGTTGTAGGCACCTCTGTAACCTCCTTACTGTGCTGAGCATGTATTTGCTGTTAGGGACATTTTCTGTCACCCTGAGACAATCTAGCCAGACACTCTGAAAAAGAGAATCCCCACCTAACACTGGTACCAACATTTGTTTTTCCTATAGCTTATCAATAAAGGGGAAGTTGAAGGTTATGGGGCAAACATACTCAGCTAGTTTGAAGATGGGACTTTTTTCACCCAAGACACATAAATAAGAGATGAGTTCAAGGTGTTAAATAAAACATTTATGAGGTCCAATTAATGGCATAAATAGGTACTGTTGTAGGGACAAACGAGGCAAGGCACCAAAGATAGCAGGAAACAGTTTTATTTGGCTGCAGCCAGGTTCAGAGGGCACAGCTTTTGTGGTAATCAATTAATTCTCTGAACCCAAGTTCAGGTAGTTTCAGAGTTTTATACCCAGCATCTAAGGGGAGGGGCTCAGAAGTTCACAGTCTGCAAAAGTTCACATAAAAGCAGCTTTTTCTTTCACTGTTCTGGGCAAGTTAACCCTTCAAGGACAACCCCTGAGAAGGGGAGAGTTTCTTCTCCCCTTTCTTTCCTCCCCCTGCCAGCTGTTACCATGGAGCCCATTTGTAACTTATCTTAAAAATGTAGTCATCTCTGTGAAGCCCCAGCTCAAGGCCAGAGGCCTTGTTTGCACATTTCTTCAAAGTACTATACTGGATATGTTTGTGAAAAACTAGTAATGGGGTATCCAGCACCTGG